TACATTGCAAAACAACACACTAAACACATACGTTGTTAAACAACACACTAATCACACACGTTGTAAAACAAAACACTAATCACATAAGATGTAAAACAACACACTAATCACACACGTTGTAAAACAAAACACTAATCACATAAGATGTAAAACAACACATTATTCATATCCGTCTCAGAAAGCACGAACACACTATAAGCTGGACAATGTCCTACCAGCCTTCATGTCATTATAACACGCTACAAAACCATTCTATATCAACATTTAAAACACATCACAAAATCACCATATTTCTACATTTAAACCACATCACAAAATCACCATATATCTACATTTAAACCACATCACAAAATCACCATATTTCTACATTTAAACCACATCACAAAATCACCATATATCTACATTTAAACCACATCACAAAATCACCATATTTCTACATTTAAACCACATCACAAAATCACCATATTTCTACATTTAAACCACATCACAAAATCACCATATTTCTACATTTAATTCACATTATAAAATCACCATATTTCTACATTTAAACCACATCACAAAATCACCATATTTCTACATTTAAAACACATCACAAAATCACCATATATCTACATTTAAACCAAATCACAAAATCACCATATATCTACATTTAAACCACATCACAAAAACACCATATTTCTACATTTAAACCAAATCACAAAATCACCATATATCTACATTTAAAACACATCACAAAATCACCATATATCTACATTTAAACCACATCACAAAATCACCATATTTCTACATTTAAAACACATCACAAAATCACCATATATCTACATTTAAACCACATCACAAAATCACCATATTTCTACATTTAAAACACATCACAAAATCACCATATTTCTACATTTAAAAACATCACAAAATCACTATATATCTACATTTAAACCACATCACAAAATCGCCATATATCTACATTTAAAACATCACAAAATCACCATATTTCTACATTTAAAACATCACAAAATCACCATATATCTACATTTAAACCACATCACAAAATCACTATATATCTACATTTAAAACATCACAAAATCACCATATTTCTACATTTAAAACACATCACAAAATCACCATATATCTACATTTAAAACACATCATAAAACCACCGAACCTGGTGTCACGCAATGACAACCAGGTCTGGAAGAATAGCTACACTTGTGAACTTTAACCTTCAAGAACTGGAACCCCAAGACGGGTAACTTTTTGTCAAAGCTAAACTACAACCTCCTTAATTATCTCATGATCTGTCTACTTCATGCTAAAATAACGGACCGCTAGGTGGGAGGGTTTTAACATATTTGTATGCGTATACAAGGAATTGAGATGGGATTGATGAAAGGAGAAATTTCAGTATTGTATGCTCAAACCTTTATCATAAGCACTTCACAGTGTTCTTTAATTCAGTAGTTTTGGTACGATAAATCAATACACTGGTGGGGGGGGGGGGTGTCATCCATAAATTACGTCACGCTTTTTTGGACGATTTTTACCTCCTCCCCCGTCACAAAAAGCCAGACACCCCACCCCCCCCAATGACGTCACACCTCAGTCTAAAACCTCCCCCCCCCCCCTCCCCCCAAAAAAAAATGCAGTTGAATTTCTCTTAAAATACGGTATTTTTCCAGAATTTTGCCTGAACTCTGTCAGCATATATTATTTTAATCAATTCCTATTACAGTTTATTAAAACAGTTTTCTTAAATGCTAAATAACGGCTAAAATTCGTTTTCTAACCAAGTTTTTTTATAATGTAAAAGTGTGACGTCACACCCTCTGAACCCGCCCCCCTCATCCACCCTCCCCCGCATCACACACCGTCACAAAATTACGGACTCCCCCTCTCCCCCCTATGAGTGTGACGTCATTTATGGACGACCCCTCTACAATACTGATGGTACAGTTATACAAAACATGTGGATACGAATAAAACAAGAGATTTAGTGTCTAAAATAACGCCACTGCGTATACAACAGGCAACCATGAATCTGACCACAGTGGTGTTTTTTTTTATTAGCACCAATGTTTCTAGACCACATCACGGTCATGTCGATACAGACTGTTAGGGATTCCAATCAGTAAATAAGGCCTGCAATCCTTACAAATGTTAACTCAATATTCAAACAATCCGGATTTTAACATACATTTTTTTTAGCATGGATTCGATTTTGTAGTCCCTGGTTATAAACATAACGACAGACATATTAATATAGCAGAGGCGTAGCGACCCTTCCCGGCGCCAGGGGACAGACTTTCGATTTGCACCCCCCCTCCCCCCCCCTCAGAGTTTCGATTCCCCCCCCCCCCTTAAACTTTCGATTTGCACCCCCCCCCTTTAAACTTTCAATTTGTTTTTCCAACCCATTTTGGCGCCCCCTAAGGTCGGCGCCCGGGGACATATGTCGTCCCCCCGCCCCTCCGCCCGCTACGCCTCTGCTGATATAGCGACCCAGTGTGTATTGAGAACTAAAGGAAAAGATGATATTGATACGGAACATTCACACACAATTATTAGAAAGCAAGAAAAAAAAATAATTTATTGGAAGATTGCATGATCTTAGATTGTCTCGTGGATTGAGTGCTGCCTACTTTGTATTGGTTTACAGTGTTTGATATGCTGAGCTGACAAGTTTTTGTGGACACATTATGATATTCGGTTACACAAAAAGTGCGAGGCAAAGTGGAAGTTTTTTGTTTCTTTCTGGATTATGTGTAAGGGTGTATACACGCTAATACATATGCACATATATATATATATATATATATATATATATATATATATATATATATATATATATATATATATATATATATATATATATACACATGCATATATTTTCATGCATACATAATAACATATGCATTATGCTAACAACACATGAATACATACATACAAATGCATACATACATACAAATGCATACATACATACAAAAGCATACATACATACAAATGCATACATACATACAAATGCATGCATACATATGCGTATATTCCCATGTATAAACACATATGCAAACTAGTAAGCATACATATATATGCATACATACACATGCATGCATGCATATATACAAATGCATACATACACATGCATTCATATACGCACATATTATACTCCCATCCATATATGCGCGTATCTGTTGGTGATGTTAAAGACACATTTGCTTAGTGATTTTCTCCAAACAGTTTTCTTAAATCCGAACACATGCACACACTTACGCACACATAGATAGACGTTTATTCCTAAATATAATCACTTAGTGTTTACGTATGGGCAGATTTTAATTATACCGTCAGCCGGAGAATCCAAAGTTACCTATCTGCACTTTACTCTCTGTCAGTTTCTGTCTTTAGGTTGACTTTACGGTTCTTCAGGCAAAAGGTAAAAAAAAAAAAAACTTGGTTTTAAGTAAGCGGTCGCTTTCTGGTCAAAGCTATGGTTAGAGTCAAGGTAGCCATAGGGATTGGCTGTGTTAGTTTTACTTGTATATTCAATGGTAGTGTTATTTAAGAGTAGTGATACGTATGTATATATTTTTCCCACGTTCAATAGCTCAATGTCTGTGGAGTATCAGCGGTATCGCGACACCATATATTATCTAGCACTGTCAGGTAGGCTTTGTAAGACACGCTCTGATGACCACAGGATACACTGACGGTTCTAGACAACCGTACGGGTTCAACGACCTGTCTTATGTTTTCAAGGTCACAACAGGACGTGTAAATGAGGGTGAAGAACGGGTATTTAACATAGTAAGGATTTTACGCCAGAACACGGTAACATAATACACACAAACACCCATAACATTCAGCAGCCTTTTTTAAACACATAAGCTATATAAACGCACTAAACACATACTCAATGAAACACACAAATCAACACATATTTTGGTCAGTGCTACAATTACACACACTGAACCGATTTTGAGACATGTATACATGTATACAAGCATACAATACAAGCACACATTCAAATGCGCGCGCACTAGTCTACACCAACGCACACACACTAACGTAAAATTATTGATTCCACAATTAAAATCTACAATAGAAGTGATCCCCTCAAATTCCTGTCCATTTCGTCACTAGTATTTATTTTGCTATTAATTAAGTACATGTACTTATGTACTAAAATAAAAATTTACAGGTCAAAATAATAATTGCTTTCGCCCCGTACCACGTTAAAAAGTTTGTTCAAAGGGATGTTACTCTTAATATTTTAACCCCAATTCAAACCAAGACAACTCTCTTGTAAACATATAGTTTAGTTTGGGCCAGAGCTGCCATACCGAAGCCGTTTAAGGGTCCAAAATCCGTCTAGTAAAAGCACAATATTTAATGTTGAAAAAGATTTGTTTCATAAAAATTGATCGCTCTTCAGTCACTTTGGGTTCGCTAACGGTTTATCATGTAGTAAAAAAATGTGTTTGTCTTGCTGTAGTTGATCTACCAAATACATTGACGTGCAGTAAAGATGTGTTTGTCTTGCTGTCGCCTGTCCTTTTGACGTACAGTAAGATTTGTTTGTCTTGCTGTAGTTGATCTACCAAATTATTGACGTGTAGTAAAAATGTGTTTGTCTTGCTGTAGTTGATCTACCTGCCCAATTGACGTGAAGTAAAATTGTGTTTGTCTTGCTGTAGTTGATCTACCAAATTATTGACGTGTAGTAAAAATGTGTTTGTCTTGCTGTAGTTGATCTACCTGCCCAATTGGCGTGAAGTAAAATTGTGTTTGTCTTGCTGTAGTTGATCTACCAAATTATTGACGTGTAGTAAAAATGTGTTTGTCTTGCTGTAGTTGATCTACTTGCCCAATTGACGTGAAGTAAAATTGTGTTTGTCTTGCTGTAGTTGATCTACCAAATTATTGACCTGCAGTAAAGATGTGTTTGTCTTGCTGTAGTTGATCTACCTCTCACATTGACGTCCAGTAAAGATGTGTTTGTCTTGTTACAGGTGTAGACTCCTGCCACGCCAGCCCATGTGCTGAGGGATCTACCTGCGTCGATCTGGTGGATGGGTTCGCTTGTCTGTGTCCAACACACAAGACAGGGAGGCTGTGTGAGACAGGTGAGTCATGACAGACAGGTAAGTCATGATAGACAAGTGAGTCAAGACAGACAGGTGAGTTATGGTAGACAGGTGAGTTATGGTAGACAGGTAAGTCATGATAGACAGGTAAGTCATGATAGACAAGTGAGTCATGACAGACAGGTGAGTCATGATAGACAGGTAAGTCATGATAGACAGGTGAGTCATGATAGACAGGTGAGTTATGGTAGACAGGTGAGTCATGGTAGACAGGTGAGTTATGGTAGACAGGTGAGTTATGTTAGACAGGTGAGTTATGTTAGACAGGTGAGTCATGATAGACAGGTGAGTTATGGTAGACAGGTGAGTTATGGTAGACAGGTAAGTCATGATAGACAGGTAAGTCATGATAGACAAGTGAGTCAAGACAGACAGGTGAGTTATGGTAGACAGGTGAGTTATGGTAGACAGGTAAGTCATGATAGACAGGTAAGTCATGATAGACAAGTGAGTCAAGACAGACAGGTGAGTTATGGTAGACAGGTGAGTTATGGTAGACAGGTAAGTCATGATAGACAGGTAAGTCATGATAGACAAGTGAGTCATGACAGACAGGTGAGTCATGATAGACAGGTAAGTCATGATAGACAGGTGAGTCATGATAGACAGGTGAGTTATGGTAGACAGGTGAGTCATGGTAGACAGGTGAGTTATGGTAGACAGGTGAGTTATGTTAGACAGGTGAGTTATGTTAGACAGGTGAGTCATGATAGACAGGTGAGTTATGGTAGACAGGTGAGTCATGATAGATAGGTGAGTCATGATGGATAGGTGACTCATGACAGACAGGTGGGAATCAATAGACAGGTGAATCATGGTAGACAGGTGAGTCATGACAGACAGGTAATTCATGATAGAAAGGTGAGTGATGATAGACAGGTGAGTCATGATAGATAGACGAGTCGTGATAGACAGATGAGCTGTGAAAGACAGGTGAGTCATGATAGACAGGTGAGTCATGATAGACAGGTGAGTAATGATAGAATGGTGAGTCATGATGGACAGGTGAGTCATGTTCGACAGACGAGTCATGATGGACAGATGAGATGTGAAAGACAGACGAGTCATGATAGGCAGTTGAGTCATGACAGACTGGTGAGTGTTGATAGACAGGTGAGTCATGATAGACAGATGAGTCATGATGGACAGGTGAGTCATGATAGACAGATAAGTTGTGAAAGACAGGTGAGTCATGATAGACAGATGAGTCATGATGGACAGGTGAGTCATGATAGACAGGTGAGTCATGATAGACAGGTGAGTCATGATAGACAGGTGAGTCATGATAGACAGATGAGTCATAATAGACAGGTGAGTCATGATAGACAGATGAGTCATGGTAGACAGGTGAGTTATGATAGACAGATGAGTCATAATAGACAGGTGTGTTGTGATAGACAGGTGTGTTATGATAGACAGGTGAGTTATGATGGATAGGTGAGTCATGATGGATACGTGAGTCATATTGGATAGGTCAGTCATGTTAGACAGGTGAGTCATAGTAGACAGGTAAGTCATGATAGACAGGTGAGTCAAGGGGAGGCACATTATGAAAAGCTGAGACTTGATAGACAGGTGACTCAGAATGGAAATCTGAAACATGATCGATATGTAGTCATGATAAACAATTGAGACAGGAAATCATTTATTTTCCCTTTTTTTATTTTCTTGTATTATTATAGAAGTATGCAATTTATGCAATTTTATTTCAGTACTTTAAAATTTTTATTTACAATAGTTTCATGACTATAAACTAATGCGCACAAAATAAACAGTATAACGCGCGTATAATAGCGAGGGAAGAGTAGCAGAAACCTACAATTTTTTAGAACATTTTAATTAATTCATAAAACACGATTTAAGCATCCAATTAAGTCAAACTGTATTGTGTTCAAGTCTTGACCCACGTGCCAATTTAGAAACGAATCTGTCATTTAGAAGTGCCCGAAATTCCGCTCGAGCGTTTTTATCTATGACGACTGGTAGACAGGGGCGGAACTACAGTGCCGCCAGACCCCGCAATGCGGGGGGGCCCACGCCATTTAGGGGCCCAGAGCCGACCATAATACATTTTTTTTATAGTTAAAAAAAAGTAAATTTTCTTTCATTTTTGACTTGATGGTTGTTTTGTAAAAAAATTACCGTAGCTGCGGTTGGATTATATTTATTCTATAGACACCACCCCACGCTCTTGTTTCTTCTTTTTCCCTTTGTTTTTAAACAACTTTGAAAGCCGAGTCTTTCTCCTACAATTAAACTTATCAAAGATAAGCAAATGTTCAAACCACTTCCATGACTTATTTCCCTTTTTAAAAAAACAGTCAAATAGGGGTGATCATAAGCTCCTTTTAATAGATTTGTACTAAACAAATTAAAAAGCAATTACTTCTCTTAATTATTATTTTTTTTATAAGTAATTACTAAAGAATGATATTGTATAAAAGGGAAATGTATTAAAATGTATTAAATTAATAATATTTTAAACATTAATAATATAACTACAAGAAAAAACATAAAAATAAACATAACACGAGACACCATTACTTATACAAAGCTTTCATATTTTATATTATTTTGACCGACAGATTGATAAAAGGGCTTCTATCAAAAATTAATTAAAACTGATTCTCACAAAACACGCTAATGCACTTACACACATGACATGATGTTGAATTTTTTTTTATTAATGTTTTTCAAATCCAGAACAGGACAACAATGAGTATCCTATGTTCGTATTATGTGATTGCATATATATATATATATATATATATATATATATATATATATATATATATATATATATATATATATATATATATATATATATATATATATATATATATATATATATATATATATATATATATATATATATATATATATATATGGGGGGGGGCCTAAAAAATTTTTTTTGCGGGGTGGCCCTTTTTTTCTAGTTCCGCCACTGCTGGTAGACTGACTCTCTTTCAGACTGACGACAGACAGAGAAAGCAAGTTAAATAAAAAGCTTGTAAAATAGTCTGAAATGTTCATCAACCGAATTTTATTTTAAATGCACGGGAGGCGATTCAAGAAAATATAATTTATTTTAAAGATACTCATTTCGTTTGATATTTTTTAGCTTAAAGCATGATTATTCTAAAATATTTTTAACAATACATATATTCACAAATTTAATAATGATATAAAATTGCGTAAACTTAACTATATTTAAAAACTTAATATTTAAATGGTAGATATGTAGTATATTTACGCCGTACAATTAATAGTTTATTTTTATGATACTTCTCAAAACCGAAGTTTACAAGCGATGTGGTGATAGTACAAGTCCGAAAAAAAATTTACTCTTCTTTAATCTAATATTTCCCACGAAATGGAGAGACTGATAACTACAATATTGATCATGTAAAATTTGTTTGTAATTAACCTGGATCCAATTAATGTTGACGTTGAGAGTTACCTTTAAAAGATGCAGAATCCTAAGGTCGAATCTCAGGCCCGGCGTCTGAGGGAGATACTTCGGGGGAAGATAACTCAGCAAGAAACACCTTGCACACCTATCAACTGCGGCAGTGAGAGGGGAGCCCTAGATTCCATTTTAAACAGTGACGAAGATGCCGTCAGAGATAATCTGAACAAGGACTCAGACTACATCCGTGGGTTGCGGCGAGGCGGCCAATGAGTGGCCAGTCTGCTGGAGAACGGCCTTGATGCCGCCGTCTGGCAGTTCGCGTGTAAGGTCTGCAGGTTCTGGTGGATGAAGGTGCCGGCTCGTAAGGAGGTATCCAAATGCAACAGGTGTAAGGTCAAGTACGATCCGATAACCTGGGACAAGGTGAAAGGTCAAGTACGATCCTATACCTCAGGACAAGGAGTTTGGTCAAGTACGATCCCATACCCCAGGACAACTTGAAAGGTCAAGTACGATCCCATACCCCAGGACAAGGTGAAAGGTCAAGTACGATCCCATACCCTAGGACAAGGAGTTTGGTCAAGTACGATCCTATACCCCAGGACAAGGAGTTTGGCACCAGGAAATTCTTACGCGAGTGAGCGAATGAATTTACAGTATTTGGCGAGATGAATATTACGTCATGTAAATGTTACAAATGTGGACAGATGGTGCCCCTGGACCGCATGCTGCCCCCGAGGAAAGACAGACCCCGTAAGACCAGGCTGCCCCATTCCTGTAATGGCATCAACTGTCCTAGACACGCCCATGATGCTGATGAAGTGGCGCTTGTGACCAACTTTGGCAGGATGCAAATCCAGGATCCAGGAGCGTCTGGCTACACTAGATGGGGAGGTAACTCGACAGGAGGAGTGCCTGGTGGATCAGCGTCTTTCGGTGGGCCGGGGTCATATGCAGGGTCAGGGTCATATGCAGGGTCAGGGTCATAAGCCGGGTCATCAGGTTCCAGGCGTGGATTAGCAGAAGGAAATGTGCAGCCGGTGTGCGTCTACCCCAAGGCCGGCAACCAGATCCGGACATTCAGCGAGAGACATCAGAGTACCGGCTCCACAGTGACAACTTTCCTAAGTAAAGTTTCTTCCAGGTATTTCTTCGGAGGGGGGGGTGGTACCGAAGAAGGTCTGCCTGCCGCTCCCCCCGCCCCCCACCCCCAAAACGAAATGGAATTTATATACGAAATATAACGTTTAACAGTGTCCGCCCGCCCCTCCCCCCCCCCCCGGAAATTTTAGGTCCGCCCCCCCCTGAAAATTTCAAGTGCCCCCCCCCCCCCCAGGAGAAAAAAGTCTGGAAGAAACACTGTTCCTAAGTCAAGGCAGCCTAGACAACATGTCCGTCAGTCAGTTCCACTCGCTTGACGTCAGATTAGAATCAGACTAACACACACATCACACATGTGTAAATACAAATACTGGCGACCTGCTGTATACAATTCCATGACTTAATTTATGGCGTTAAAAAAAATAATTAGCAATGCTTTGTATGATAACGAATGACATAAAATATAGCCCTTTATCGGGAAGGAGGGGTAGGGGGGGGGGGGCTGAGCCCGCCGAAGAGATGCATGTTAGAAACTCAATTGTGAATGAAAAAAAGTATATTAAAAAATATTGTTTAAATATATTTTTTTAAAATAATAATTTTAAAACGTATCTAGAACCTACTACTAGTTGGTTATTAATTTACATTATTAATTTTTTTAAGCTGTGCCTGTTTATACTACAAATATAGTGAATTCAATATTTTATTTTATTTTTTAAACTGTGTTTTTTATACTAAAATATAGTGCACCAAAAATGAATAAAATATTTTTAATTTTTATTTAACTGTGCCTGTTTATACTAAAAATACATTCAATGTGCACCAAAATCAAATTAAATATTTATGGTTTCATCAAATTAAATATTCATGGTTTCATTTCCAGAGATTACAGACTGCCGCGCTCACGGTTGCTATAACAACGGCCGCTGCATCCAGCAGCACGCGAACGCCACGTTCGAGTGCATCTGCCAGAGGGGGTTCACCGGGCAGAGGTGCGAGAGGGAGCTGTGCGCCCCGGGCGTCTGTCAGAACGGCGGCACGTGCAAGCTCGTCGACCGGCACGCGTACACCTGCGAGTGCTCCCGCGGGTACAAAGGTCAGAACTGTGACGTGCTCTCCTCGTGCGAGCCCAACCCGTGCCAGAACAACGGCAGGTGTTTCCAGGATCGGGGAGGGGATTACTACTGCCACTGTGAGGGGAGGTACCGGGGGAAGCACTGCGAGCACGAAGACCCCTGCGCATCTACGCCGTGCCAAAATGGCGGGAGATGTGTCGTAGACGGGCGCCATGACCAGTACCACTGCCACTGTCCCACGCCTTACTTTGGCGAGTCCTGCCAGCACAACAACGCCTGTCTCCCCAATCCGTGTCTCAATTCGGGCACGTGCGCGCCCAACGATTTCACCTTCACGTGCGCGTGTAAGCCCGGGTACTCCGGACCAACGTGTGATCTGTCTGATCCGTGTGCTGTATCGCCGTGTCAACACGGGGGCACGTGTAAGACCGACCTTGAAAGAAACTCACACCTGTGTGAGTGCCCACCTGGATACACAGGTGTATCATGTGAAATACACGAAGCCTGCGACAGAGGACCGTGTAAAAACGGAGGAAAATGTTTCCCAGAAGGCGCTGGATATTTCTGCAGATGCATGTCAGGATTTTCCGGAACCAACTGTCAAAACCCTTCCGCGTGTGCATCCTCCCCTTGCCACAATGGCGGCTCGTGTTACGAATCAGCTTCCAGTTACATCTGCGCATGCGCGGGGCGCTATTCGGGTAGATTTTGTGAGAACGAGTTAACCCAAGGGCCATGCGGGGATAACCCTTGTCTAAACTCTGGCACCTGTTTCCAGTCTGGAGATTCCCATGTTTGCGTGTGTCCTTCGAAATTCACCGGCAGCAGATGCGAGAAAGAGATGACAAATTCTTGCGAAAACGTCCAATGTCTCAACGGGGGCTCATGCTATTCTTCTGGGGATCACTCCATCTGTGTTTGCACCGCGGAGTTTATCGGCGATTTTTGCGAAACGAGAAATCCATGTTTTGTACATCCCAACTCAATTTGCGTTGAGAACCAAACATGTGGAGTTGATTCAGGACGGTCTTCTCCGTGTGGTGCCAACGGCGTCTGCCAACCGTGTGAGAGAGGCAGGCCCTGCGGTGTAGAAGGCAGGAACTACGTGTGTTCTTGTAGATCGGGCTACATGGGAAAACAGTGTGAGATTCCAGACCGGTGTACCCCTGGGTCGTGCGGGGAGGGGGAAATCTGCGTCCCAGTTCCAGGACAAGACGGCTTCACTTGTGAATGTCCTTCTGGAATGACGTCACGTGATTGCACAGCTTCTAACCCGTGTAACCCTAACCCTTGCAGGAATAACGGCACTTGTACTCGATCGGTTGGAACTGCGTCGTCTTCATCTCGTGTTGCACCTTACGTCTGCGACTGCAGGAGTGGATACACGGGGTTCCACTGCGAGGTTCTCAACAGCTGTGTTCAAAACCCCTGCCAGAATAACGGCGAGTGTATCACTGAGTTGACCGCAGCTGGGATCAGCATCCGGTGCCAGTGTCCAAGAGGATTTTCAGGATTTTGGTGCGAGGTTAAAACGTCTTGCAGAGTTCATCCGTGTATGAATGGCGGCGAGTGCGTCATATCCGGTCATGCGCAGCACGGAAACGAACCGGATGTTGTGTGTCGCTGCCCGCGTGGATTCACCGGTGCCTTGTGCGAACGAGAGCTGGACTGTCATGACGTGGGGTGTCTTAACAACGGCAGGTGTCAAATCAACTCTGACGGAAGACACCACTGCGCATGCGCAGACACGTTTATCGGAAATTTCTGTGAAACTCCTATCAACTGCGACATGGCACCTTGCCTGAACGGCGGGATCTGCGTCCAAGGACTGGTCACCATCGGTGCCAAACGGACGGCACCCAGGTGCGTCTGTATGCCAGGTTTCACGGGGATGAGGTGCGAGCATTTGGACACGTCGTCAGCCTGCTCCGTCATCACGTGTCAAAATGGCGGCAGGTGCGTCCCCGACCGGGCACGGGGTGGGGTCTGTGTGTGTCCCAGAGGCTGGCGTGGGGACAGGTGTGAGGTCAGGGATGTGACGTCAGACACGTGCCATTCAAAAGTCTGCTGGAACGGAGGCTCCTGTGTTCTAGCCCAAGGTAGGTGTCCATCTTTCACTAAATACATGCATACATATATACATATTCAGAAGGGGGGGGGGGGTTGAAGCTGGTTGTTTTTAAGAGGCCCAGGAAAATTTAAAAGGAGCCCAACCCCACCCCAGATTTAAAAAAAAAAATTATTGTTTATTTTTTTCCCAATCATAGCCTGATGATCATCTTCAGCTTGATAGCAATTAACGCGACAAAATTATTTCAACAAAATAATTAAGACACCAATAGGTCTAGTACAGAATCGTTCCTGGAGACAAACGGGAACTTTTTACTTCGGTTCCCACCGGGATTTTTCCCTATAGACCGGCGGGTCAGTCCACCTCTGCAGTAGCGTAGCGAGGGGGGGGGGGGACATATGTTGGGTTGGAAATGGGTTGGAAAAATAAATTGAAAGGTTGAGGGGGGGTGCAAATCGAAATCTCGAGGGGGGGGGGGGTGCAAATCGAAAGTTTGAGGGGGGGGGGGGTGCAAATCGAAAAGTTTGTCCCCGGGCGCCGGGAAGGGTCGCTACGCCTCTGCACCTCTGTAGTTATTTTACACAGAATACTGTTACTTATATTAAAAAAAAACATTCACAAAAAGATATTTATAAAAAAATAGAAGCTGGCAAGTAAGAATCGAGAAGTTAGTGACCTATTGATATACCAATGTGTGTGTTGCATATTGTCCATATGAATCTGAATAGACAAGCCTTGCAAGGAGACGTACTCTTGACTTCGCGCTATTTATAGTTTACGCGATATTTTGTATACATTTAGTAATGTTTAGATTGTAATTCTATTCCCTCACCTGACTTCAGGTACCACCAGACCTACCTGTCTGTGTCCTCCAGGATACTCTGGCAGCGACTGCCGCGTCCACTCAGCCCCCTGCACCACCAACCCGTGCATGAACGGCGGCACGTGCACCGCCCTTGACCCAACCAGGGCAGAATGCACGTGCCCTCCAGGCTACGCCGGCGTCCGGTGCCAGATCAAACCCAGCGACCCGTGCACGCCCAACCCGTGTGCCAACGGTGGCCGCTGCTCCGTGGACATCGGGGCCCGTGGCTACATCTGCAGGTTAGAGCGTCTTTACAGCTGCTTCAACTCTTTCATTCCCCTAACCTGGCTATAGGAAAATACAGCTGTTCTTACATAATGTTGCTGAGGTTATGTTTATTTCTCTATGTAGTGATGGCAATGCCAACACAAGGGATCCTGCTAACATAACATAACTCGAAAACATGACAAAATATCAATTACGCTAATATCAAGTCTTCCACAGTGTTTCTTTCAGACTTTTTCTCCGGGAGGGGGGGGGACACTAGTAAAAGTAAAATATAATATTTTCTCTTTAAATACTGTTTCTTTCCAGGAGGGGGAGGGCGGTAGACGGTGCTTCGAAAAAGGGGGGCGGGGGCAAAGAGATGCCTATAAACATCAGAAATAAAACGAAAAGAAGAATAAATATGATTAATGGCAGCTTTATCTTTAACCCCAACAAGTATAAAATTATAACAGGCCCATAATAAATGAACATATTTTTCTCCAGATGTGAGCTCCCATACACGGGAGATAACTGTGAAATTAAAGCTACCGGAACCTGCTTGATAAATCCTTGCAAAAATCTGGGCACTTGTGTGTAAGTTATCCAGATTTACCATTTGATACATTCCATTTTAAACAATTAAAACCACACAAAAAGAAAAAATATATTAGATCTATATGGTCATTGGTCAATATAATGTTATCTGTGAAATTTAGGCATAGTATAGTCGATGTAATTTTAGCAATGTTATGTTTTCCTTTCTATGTTTTCTTTCTAACTGTAAATTTAAATATTAAATTAGTCATTAAAAATTAATTTTAACTTTACAAAATTCAGTTATAAAAGGAGATAAAGTCATGAATTTTGTATGCAACCAAAATGCAATATTAAACCACTCTAGTATATGTAATAATATCAATGTTATTTAATCAACATAATGGTATCTATGGTAATGATGTGTACTTAAAGTTTCTGTCCTAATGTTGTATAATCTAATTTTATCATGCAAATATATTCTTTTCATATATTCTTGTCCGTAAAATGGTGTCAATGTAATCATGTCAATATCACCATATCAATTTCATCAAATTAATGTCATCATATCTATGTAATCATGTCAATGTCATTATATCAATGTCATCATGTCAACTTCATCATATGAATGTCATCCTGTTAATAACATCATATCTAAGTAATCATGCCAATGTCATCATATTAATGTCATCATGTGAATGTCATCATATCAATTGCATCATATCAATGTCATAATGTTAATATCATATCAATGTCAGCATGCCAATGTCAATGTCATCTAAACTATGTAATCATGTCAATGTCATCATATTAATGTCATCTTGTCAATGTCAGCTTGTCAATGTCATAGAGTCAATGTTACCATGTCAGTGTTACCATGTCAATGTCATCATGTCAATATCATCATATTAATGTCATCATGTCAATACACCTGTGTCTCTACACCAGAGAGATCCCGCCCCACTCCTTCGTGTGCCGGTGCCTACACGGCTGGCACGGTCAGTACTGCCAGACCTGGGCAGGGGGAAGTGTGCAGTGTCCGGCCGACATGTGTTCCACGAGGGGGGTGTGTTATCTGGGTCAGGACAACGAGCCCATGTGTCGGTGTGAGAACTCGTTCGGCGACCGATGCGGTGAGTAACGCAATTTTATAAGGCCGATTCTAGCCGGAAAAAGATACGCATGCGCAATGGGGAGAAACTACCGCCTTCATTCGCGGCGATGTTTTCGATGGTACTGCGCATACTTGTGTTTACAAACAAACCGCAGACCCTAATCCTATCCCCAACCAGTGGTGATGCTATGTCGGCTGTCACCCGATGCGGTACTTGTGGTGTCACCCCCACCCCTTTTGTAGTAGTCGATTTGTACTCAAAAGATAATTAACTTTAATTAATCATAAATGGAACTGGCAAAAAAGTATATTTCTTCTGTACATTTTGCAGTTTTTTTGCCTTGGTGTCACCCCCTAAATAGTGTCACCCGGTGCGGTACTCGTGGTGTCACCCCACCCCTTTTGTAGTAGTCGATTTGTACTCAAAAGATAATTAACTTTAATTAATCATAAATGGAACTGGCAAAAAAGTATATTTCTTCTGTACATTTTGCAGTTTTTTTGCCTTGGTGTCACCCCCTAAATAGTGTCACCCGGTGCAGTACGCACCCCGTCCCCGCTACGCCTATCCATATCCCAAACCCTATCCCTCGGGAAAAGATGAGGATGATTTGCTCTTTACATCGATTAATGGGCATATTGTTGAGGGGCAGAGGCGTAGCGAGGGGGGGGGGTGCGGACCGCACCGGGTGACACCATTTAGGGGGGTGACACCAAGGCAAAAAATAGTAACAGATATAGAGAAAAATGTGAGGGGGGGGTGTGCAAATCGAAAGTTTGAGAGGGGGGGGGGGGTGGGGTGCAAATCGAAAATTTGTCCCCGGGAAGAGTCGCTACGCCTCTGAGGGGGGGGGGGGCACCATTAAGTGCCGCACCGGGTTACACCCGACCTCGCTACGCCACTGTTGTGGGGTCATTTTAGGTGCATGTGTGTGTGTGCGTGATGAGGGTAAGATTTTGCTAATACACTTACAATGGTTGATGAGGGTAAAATAGATCATCTTATAATCCACATTTACGTTGTTGTAATATAAAATTGTATGATGCTCGATTATTTTTATTTCTACTTTAGAATACACGTGTGGCGTCCTGCAGAGTGGGCTGTTCCCCCACCCCCTGGAGTGCTCCCTCTACACCATGTGTGTCTGGGGCAAGCCCTACGTCATGCAGTGTCCCAGAAACGACCTCCATTTCAACCCCAAACTGCGCATCTGTGATTGGCATGCGCGCGCCGGATGTACGTCACTGCAGCGGTCACGTGAGCAGGAATACCTAGGCGTGGTTTGGAGGATACGTCACTAGTGAGGGGACGGCGGGGCGGGGGTAGCACAAGATAGAAAAGTTATACCCCGTTTGAAATGTGTCAATTTGCCCCATTCTTGAATTTTTCAATGTTAAGTTATCGTAACGTGACGTTTTGTTAGTTCCTGTCTCAATATTACCGAGATATGCCCGTAATGCCAAAACTGAAGTAGTAAAACTGTTAGCAAATAGCCTCACCTATAAAAAAATAAGTAAAAATGAGTAAAGATTTCTCTTTAGACCTGCCATTCAGCAGATGAAGTGGAGTTCATTTTTCTTGACCTCGGCATATGAAGTATAAAGGGATAATGTGGTCAGCACTATACCCAGCCGCATTTACTTTCCAAAACGTGATTTCCACTGACTTGAACCTGGATTTGAACTCGAGAAATTCGGGTTCGCAGTCTAGCCACGCCGTCCCATCCCTATCAAAAATACTTAACTTTATCGTTTTTTCATTCGGCTATATATTTGTTATATGTAAATTCGACAATAAGGGCATTTCTTGCTTCAAATGTATCAACCATTTGTTCAATGACATCATATTATTTGAAACAGCAGTTTCTCAATACTGGCCAATAAGCCCATAAGAAATTTGACGATAAATCTAAATGGGGGTATATGCGCCTGCTTGTTAAGTCAATGTGCAGGGGGGGGGGAAGAGTCAACCAGCCCTCACACCACCCCCAGAATAGTAAACATGACATAAGAAAATAGCAATTTTAAAAAATTTGCCTATAAGTTGACCCCTGGAGCACTAATGTGGTTGCCCATGTCTGATGACTGTAGGACATGAGGTACCAACACAACTCTATTCATACAACATACATGGAAAAAAACTTAAGCCAACAAACTCAAACTGGTCTACATATAAACACATAAGGGGATTTTATTCTGATAAATACATTAGTTGGAGTACTACTTAATTCCACATACATTTCTTATAACCATTTTGGTAGATCAATTCCTAATTTTTAATTTTTTTTTCTCAGATCCCAATTGAATGTAGTCTTATTTGAAATAAAACAATTTTTAAATTAAAAAAAAAATATTTCTTTAATTTGTGTGGCAACTTGAAAAGAAAATATGAATCTATTGTTTTTTTTGCCTTGGATAGATACATTCCTGAACATTGCTGCCCATAGACTTGAACCCACTAAATGTTAATCACAACTACTACAAAATTATAACAGTAATACATTAATTTAATTCAAATAACAAAATTAAAAAAAAAAAATTAGTTAATTTATATTCTAAATTAGAATGTCTTAACGAGGGGTCATATAATCAATGAGCCAAACTGCCCAGGGTAAAAACCTCTATACTGAAAACATGGAGTAATACAACAACAATCTGTTTAACAGTGCTGATTAAAAATTGTATGTACAAGAAATTTCAATAACATGATCAGGCTATCACTCAGCTAACAGACATCTATTTGTATCATACATGTATTTGGAAACATATTTTTTTTGGCTTTACATTCTTGGTAGAATAAGCATGTTTTGTTGGCTCATAAGGAAGATTATTAAGTTAGGCTAGTTTTAACACCATTAGCCAACCTAAAGGGTATCTAAATAATCACCAGTCAACCCATGGGCTGTCTTAACACCAGCAGCCAACCCATGGTCTATTGAAACACCATCAGCCAACCCATAGGCTATTTAAATAATACCAGCCAACCCATAGTCTATCTAAACACCAGCAGCCAACCCATGGTCTATTGAAACACCATCAGCCAACCCATAGGCTATTTAAATAATACCAGCCAACCCATAGTCTATCTAAACACCAGCAGCCAACCCATGGCCTATTGAAACACCATCAGCCAACCCATAGGCTATTTAAATAATACCAGCCAACCCATAGTCTATCTAAACACCAGAAGCCAACCCATAGTCTATCTAAACACCAGCAGCCAACCCATGGTCTATTGAAACACCATCAGCCAACCCATAGGCTATTTAAATAATACCAGCCAACCCATAGTCTATCTAATCACCAGCAGCCAACCCATGGTCTATTGAAACACCATCAGCCAACCCATAGGCTATTTAAATAATACCAGCCAACCGATAGTCTTAACACCAGCAGCCAACCCATGGTCTATTGAAACACCATCAGCCAACCCATAGGCTATTTAAATAATACCAGCCAACCCATAGTCTATCTAAACACCACTAGCCAACCCATGGTCTATCTAAACACCACTAGCCAACCCATGGTCTATCAAAACATTACCAGCCAGTTCATTACTTATTAATTAATTATCGCTTGCCTATCATTATTTCAGCAAATTTTAGATCTTTGGTGTTTGTTAGAGCACTAGATACCACCCAGGTTTTACAACCCCTGAGTTAAATTAGGTCAAGTAACATTAGTTACAATCTCATAGCTACCCTCACAATCTTTTCAAATTCTGAGGTCACATATACAAAATGTGAAGAATACTTTACACCCAAATTAATTCAAGTCTAAAACCAGACCTTGTCTAGTGGTAGGTTAATAGAGCAACCTCCCAAATTATTATTTATCCTATACAACAAGATACAACGTGTGTCTATGTCACAAGTTAGGGGTGATGGTCAAACTCAGCCCACCCTGCCCTTGTAGTATCAAAGTAGTATCTAATTCAACAATAATAAATAATTGCCAAATATAACATTGATCATAAACTTGCTCAATGAGTCAGTAATTTACAAACTACTTTACGCTTGAATGTACACCAACACACACACACGCAAAAAGCTAACAGTAAAAATAATAAGGTTTATAAAAAAAAGGTTTCTCAACATCATCAACAACTCTGGATAAAACATTACTATTTAAAAACTTTCCATCTGGGAATAAAAATGCTTTAAAATCTGTTCAGGGATAATTAAGGAAGAAGGCAAACAGCCATTGTATCACTGACAAAAACTGTGACCCTAGTGATGAGAAGCCAAACAACTCTGGTGTTTTCAAGGCAAAGAGATAAATGCCAGGTTTTCTGAATGGGGAGTAGGGTATAAAGTTCCTCTTTAGACATTACGATCCATTTGGGCAGATAAAGTAGAGTTGCTGTTTCATGACCTCGGCATATGAATGGATGGTGTAGTCAGCATTATTTCCAGCCAGTTTAACTTTCGCCAACTAGTGATGTGCCCATCAGAGCTAGATGGACACAGGTATGCCCTACAGTCACAAGTCTGAACCTAGATATGAACTTGAGACCTTAGGACTAGCAGGCAATTGCTATGACATTCAATGTTAGGAGGCTGTTTTTTTTAAATACATTATTTTTTTTAGAATCTTTTTGTTTTAAAAGCATTTCTAAATTACATAAAAATATTTTCAAAAGTAAAACAATTTTACTTTAAAAAGAATATTTCTAAAAATTTAAAGTTGCATAAAAAATATTAAGTTTTTTTTAATATATCAAAATTTTAAACAGTTTTAATCATAGAAATCTATACATATCTAGTATTTTATGACTAACAAAACAACTAAAAAATTAACCTGAATTCAACTCGAGAAGGGTCACACATGTATTATTAGAAACAGTGACATGTAATATCATTAAAATCTTTAGCATCAATAAAACTAAAATCACCAGGAAGCTTATTCCATCTATCTACATTCTCCATCAAATTTTTTTTTTCTACATACAACCACAGCAGCATACATAAAACATTGGGCCAATTCTATTACATCTTACAACAAAAAAAATGCCAGTGTGATACACTGCTCACTATTTTAATTTTAAAAAAAAATTTTTTTAGCTTTGAAGAGTTCAGTAGTAACACCAACCTCATTTTCGGCATTACTAAATTTAAGTCAAAAAGTTAATGTCTGTAAAAATCATCTTTTTTTTTAAATGGCAAATATTAACAGAACAACTATAGGATAAATAGATCACAAATTTAATTCCCGTTTGGCATCAAGGGGAGAGAAGAACCACTCAACTTTACTCTGTGGGACATCTTTAATATTGGCAGGGTTCCACTGTGGGTTGTTGTCCTTGTCTATCAACACTGAAATTAAAAAACAAACTCTTAAACTATTTGGAATTGTCTGTTCAGCTTGAAAGATACTAAACACGTTAGGGAAAGTAAAGACGGCTGGGCATAGTGCTGACCACACTATCCCTTCATTTGCAGAGGTCACAGAAACACATGCACTGTCAGGTTTGAAATTGGAACTTTATACAAGCATTCCAGTTAGTGTTTGGACTAAGACACTACATAAAGAAAATTATATTGGCACACATGTTGCAGTTTGATGAGGATAAACTAAATGTGGAGCTTGACATCTTTTGCGAGTTTGAATATTTTTGTCAGTATGAAAAACCCTTTAATTCTGTAAGGTCACTAATATGACCCACAATAAAAAAATGAAAACCATGAAAAATAGTTAAATTATTGATTTCACGTATAAATGAATGTCTTAAATTAATCCAAACCTTATTGCTAGCTTAGAAATGTTAAACACAAATGTTTGTTTTATTTTTCTAAAAAACATAAAACCGATAAACAAGAGAAAAAAAAATGATTGATCCATGAATACACTATTTGGAAGTTGAAAATCTTTTGAACGAAACATGTGAAAAGCACTCTTATCAATCTCTAAAAATTGGTAACTAAAGAATTTGTTCATATATTAAACTTTGTTTGTGGGTCAAAATAAGTTTTTCATTTGCAGATCAAATCACAAAACAATGGGAAAATATACGAAAAAATATTTTTTAGTGTATAAAGATATATAATCATAGTAAACAAAAGGTGCAATATTCCAAAAATGGAAAACGCAGCTTTAAAAAAATACCCAATATATGGTTTAATGAATGCTATTTAGATAACGTCAACAGTTGGGGCAAATATAAAGTGCATTGTAAAAAATTGTTTTAAAGTGCAGACATATTCCAAAAAATCATGTTTAGCAAATTAACATTATAATACTTTTCATTACAGAAATGGTTCAAAAGTTTAAAAATATTAAAATCTAATTTTGGTGAACAACCCAGATTTTAAAAAATTTCTCCTGCGCAATTTGACATAACTGCTTTATACTGTGACTGAGTACCACAAGACTCACCTGCCCTTACACCTTCGTAAAAATCTTTCTCCTCCAGGCACCTCTGACTTAACCTGTACTCAATTTTCAGATCTTCTGCCAGGCTTCTATTTTTACCTTCTAGTAGAAGTCTTAAGGTAATCTTTAAAGAAATTGGTGACTGAAACATAACAAAAGATACAAAAAAGCTTTTATATTTCAATATTGAATAAGCTTGAAATATGTTAAGACATAAACTACGTGCCTGAAACAAAAATCATAAATTTGAGATAACTAAAAATTCAGCTATTACATATTTTTAGTTGATCTTCAAGTAATTTCAGTGAACGAAATGAAAGGAAAAAATGTTTTTTTCCCAAAAGATTTAACTATATGCGCAGATGACAAACTATGGAAAAGAAGTTTATCTTCACAACAAATTATAGCAACCCATGATTTTCTTTAAACTTATATACTTAATGGTATTAAAAAATGTGGTTTATTTTATTTCTTTAGGTGCACATACAAGAGCTTGCTATTAACACCTTTAAGATAGCAAAACAAAACAAAACAAACAAAAAACAAATTGATTATTTACTTTTAAAAACATTGATTAGATAACGTTTAAATAAAATATATTAAATATGTACAAAAGTAAAAAAAAAACAAAAAACAATAGCATTTTGATAATTTCCTTTTGTTTTACAATAGTTTTATAAGACACTATAACAAAATAAACCAGAATATAAATGAAAAATTAAATAACGATAGTCAAATACAACCTCCTAGCAATTGCTTTAACAATGAGATAATGCTCAAATTGTAGAAATAAAATATGTCGTCAACTTATTTTTTATGTGCTCTTCTACGATATGGCGTTAAACCAATTTGTTCCAGTACTGACCATTTTTTTAAGAATGTCCAGCTGTTTCTTGGCCCAGTCTGATTCATCTTTCTGTAAAGCTTCAAATATTTTCTCCATGGTTTGACCAGAGAACAGCCTGTTGATTTGCTCTACATGAGGTTTCAGGATAAATTCTTTATCAGCTTCTACTTGGGACTACAAAAGGAAAATACAGTATTAGCTTCTTATACACACACTAACTGGTCTAATGCCTTACATGGTGATTTGAATAGCATTTGGAATTTGAGGAGTCCACTGGCACAAGTTTTTGAAAAAATAAGAGTTACACTTATCGGCTGGTTAAAAAGAGTTAACCTATAGTATTTTTAAATTTTTGTACTAAGAACAAAATAAGAAACCTATAGATCAGGGAAATGTATAAAGGGTATTTCCGGAAAATGAATCTGAATTTATTTAGCAGATTTTAATAGTGGACTCCTCATTTAATAGATGACCAATTTATTTTAAAACACTGGTTGAAACAATACAGATGACAGAGAGAAATGGAAGAGCATAGATTTTCCGTAATAATTGGATACTGTCCATAACTTTCAGTATTTCTTCACATTTTTAATATAATTTAAACAAGAATAATTTTATATTATCGCAAAACTTAGCGTAATGATGAAAATCAGCAATGTTACGTTAACCATGCTACTTAAAAAAAAAACCCACTGTAACAATGGAAAATCTCAAATAGGCATTGTTCTTGGTATGAGTAGTATGACGTATGCTATAGGCCTACACTACCGATATCTAAACCAATGTGAACATAGTGACCTGTCAACTGAGTAAGAATTTTTTTCCCGGTCACAAGAAAACAAGAGAGGCCTTGTTGATTTTTTTTTTTAAATCTAGATTTTATCTAGGTAATATCTAGAAGAAAGGGTTATTTTTTTAAAAAAAATGATTCGTTATTGATCTAGATGAGCCTAGATCTAGTTGTTTAGTAAAAACTTTTCTTCTCGCACATCTCAAACAACGCCTCAATAAATTATGTCTGGGCTATTTTTACCAGTAATTTAGCTTTGTCTTGGCCTTTCCCCTCTCACATTTGACCCACACCCAGATCATTTTTTAAAATAAATATAAACCTATGCTCACATAATTTAATATTTATGTTTCAAACTTTAGACTATTTTTCTTGAAAAATAAAGAGTAGATCTAGATGTAGATTTAATTTTAATAGAGATATTTTCCATGCGAGACCAGACTTCCAATGATCAAGGCAAGACAACAGATCATTCTCGGGGTTAATAAAGTTCATAACATAGCAACGACTAGCGCCTAACATGACACTGGCGAGAAGGGATGGGGGAGGGGGATTGTTATGGAAGATGTTTAAAACCATCGAACCGGATAACATAGCTGAAATTTTGACTAGCTAAACATAATCTAAAACTCAGACCTGGAACACCAAGTTTTACCACAAGAAAAAAGTTTTTGACGCTAATGACGATTTTGATCTCTACTGAAGGCAAAAGCGTAACCTTTACAGCATAATCGTAATTCCGTAACCTGGGTGTAAAAATCGTAAAATTAAGGGCAAAACCCCACAAGTAGGCAGCCTTGCATAGGTCAAAGCATTACAAGGTGCCAGACCTGACTACCAGACCATAGGACAAATAGAGTTAATCCCTATGTAATGTTAGTTACCTTAGCAGAACAATAACAGCAATGGAAATGAACCTGTTACCTGACTCTGTAGTTCATTTAAAACACCAGCCACACCTTCTTTGCCTGCATCAACATTTAGATTTGTAAGACGTTTCTCTAATTCTGACACCTGTTTGGGATGAAGATAACTATTTACAACCTGAACTTCTTTTTACAATTATTTTGTTATGAAAGTAGATGACTCTAAAACTGCTATTAAATCTTATAAAAAACAACAACTTCAGCACTAAATGTGTATGCATCTACATCTTCGCATAACTTATTTAACTCATTTGATGCTCATTGATATGCTAATAACACATTCATTTTTTTCCCCTAAGTTACTTAACACATATTTGACAGGCTCACTATCATGTTCGGATACACTTAAACAGACACATGATAGTCTGTCAGTATATATGCAAAAATAGACAAAATGTTGGGATATATGTAAAAAAAAACCAACACATGACAGTTATGTTGGGATGAATGTAAAAAAAAAACAACATGACAATGAAAACAATGTTATCTGCCCACCTTTGAAGAATCAATAAAGTGTGTAGCTATCCCAATACTCTGCACATCACGACCTTTCAGTCTGAAACCTGTGAGGGCCAGGAATATTCCAAGCTTTCCTTCAAGCTGGGGGAGAAAATGGCCACCTCCAACATCAGGAAATAGGCCTAAAAAATGGATAAGTTCAAAATTTTGGGTGATTTTTACTTAGAACAAACAAGAAAAAAAGTATTTTTTTTCTAAAGTTACAATTTTGATGTCTTAATAACTAAATTTAAGAAAATGTTATGTATAAGTAAAAAAAACACAGATTTTATTTTAGAAGACATTACTTTAGATTCTTTGTTTTTTAAAATGTAACCTGCTGGAATAAGTTATTAAATTGTTAATTTGTTATATAACTCTGGGTTGGTATCTCCCACATAAGAAGTAAAATGTATTTTATTTTGCGTCAAAATATAGTAAATTGGTAACATGATAATTTTCTTTAAAATTAAATCATGATGGGGGAAGGGGGGGGGGGGGGGGGAAAGAAGAGAAAGAGAAGAGTGGTGAAGTGCATGCCAAAAATCTGAGACATGATCAACCAACATGAAGTTATCAAAAAAATATCAATCGAGAGGTCATGAAATAAAAATATTAATTTCACAGATTTATAGAACCAACCTATCCCAGTCTCTGGCATTGCAAACATTGTCCTTTCTGTGGCCACTCTAAACATCCCATGTACAGACAAGCCAACACCCTGGGGAATATACAGTTACAGTACAGTCATGTTTAACAGTGGGAGGAAGATAATGATTTAAACATGATTTTCATCACAACAGTAGCAAAACAAGGTGGTATTACTTACCCCTCCCATTGTAATCCCATCAATTAGAGCTACATATGGCTTCTTGTAGTTGCCTAAAAAAATATCATATTAAGCGTTCATAAATAATTCTCAGACAAAATGAAGAAAAAGCCATTATTTTATGGTTGAGGATGCATGAAGAAATGCTGAGTGTGTGTAACAAGCTAAGGATAGTGTACTAATGTGTGTACGAGGCCAGACAGATGTACCTATTTTATAGTTGATGATGTGCGTATCAAGGCTGCGTGTGATGATGTGCTTAAAATTGTGGGTTCCAGGCTAGACAAAAGTATCTATTTTATGGTTGAGGATGTGCGTACAAATGTAATGTGTAAAAGACTAGACAAACATACATATTTTATAGTTAAGGATGCGCATAAAATGTACCTATTTTATGTTATGTGTAAAAGACTAGACAAACATACATATTTTATAGCTCAGGATGTGCATACAAATGTATTTATTTTATAGTTAAAGATGCGCATAAAAATGTACCTATTTTATGGTTGAGGATGTATTCTTCCTTAAAAAAATCCTGGGCTAAACTGTCCCCTTTTCTTCCAGCCTCTGTTACAGCTAGAAAAGAAAACAAAAATCTCTGCGAAATATTTGCCTGACAATGTTAATCTCACAAAAACTTAAAAACTAGATGGGCCATGCTATACATGGGATAACCTGTTGTTCAACAGTAACATGCTAAACACAAAATAAAAATACGCAAAAGGTTTTCATTCTACTCAATGTACGGCTAGTCAATGTACAGCAGAACCAAAACTGGAAATTTCCTAGTTGCGACTACAGAGTCATGTTCTAAAAATACATTGTGTATGAGTATCTAACAGCAATCCCAGTTAACTAAGTTAAAAAAGTTAGTGTAATAAATCCTAAAAAAAGTGTTAATTCAAAATGTCTCAAATTATTACATATTTAACCGTCTTTGATCTTTAACTTTAATTTGATGACCAAGTTATATTTCTTTCTGCAAAAGTTCCCATGCTAGTTAATTTTTGTCTGACTGGCTATGCTCTTCTTATGTATCAGCTAACATATAAAGAAATATATAAACAGAATAGCACAGAGCTGACCAGTTAAATTTTTTAAAATGGGTGTAAGTTTAGTTGAATATTTTGATTTGCTTTTTTTGTTTTTTTTATACTATTTTATCGTCAATAAAAAAAAATGCTTCCAGGATATGTTTCAATTTATTGTAATAATTGTTATAATATAGACATAAAATATTTTATTTAAAGATATAGTACAAAATAAACTAAGACATTAATTAACTGAAACAAGATATTAATATTTGCCATTTTCATATTTCGCAGAAATCTTAAACCTATTAAGAATATAAGAACTATAGAAGAATTCAGGCATATAAAAATATATTTTAAAAAAGAAATCCATTACTAAATTAAGATTGCGAACCATTTTTAAAATTTCACCATTTCACCATTACTACAAGATGTCGAGATACACAACATGAAATTAAAGGCTACTAGCTATTAAAATCTATAAAACCAGGTGAGGAGACTTTATTGTACTGAATGGATGAGATATACTTGAGCAACAAGAATTACCTCTGATGTCACCACCAGCGCAGAACGACTTCTCCCCCTCTCCTTTGATCAGCACAAGTCCTATCTTTGGGTCATCCTCCCATTTCTAAACATAAATAATAAATCTTGTTTTAGGTTTACATTCACTACATGAGTTATCAATAAGCACAAAATGATATCAGATTTAAAACCTTACATTGAAAATATGTAAACAATTAACCTTATATTAATCCTTTAAAAAAAACTAAGACAAAATTCAAACAACCACAAGTAAGCTTTTTGATGAGGAAAAAGCCTAACACACATTTTGAAAAGGCAAAATAAAAAAAACAATTATTAAAAATATAAAATTATATTAAGCACAATTAATTTTAAAAATCAATTATTAGAATTTTAAGTTTGGAAAAGGCCTTGAAGCTACAGAAGAAAAGACCATTACTGAGATATTCAATCTTTTAAAAGCGGTGCTCAAAGATAAAATAGTAACTATTAACTAGTAACTAAACTAATATACAAGAAAATAAACTGACATTGAATAAGAAATACTATTTAAAATAATTTTTTTAAAAATTAAGTCATAATGGAAAAGAATGTGTACATTATACAGTACATACTACAGAATGTGCTTTACAGTTTAGTAAAAAAAAAAAATCAACTTTCCCATAATTGAAATTTTTCCAATACTAATTGGCTAAAGAACTTTAGTCTTACATAAATGGTTTACGAAAGGGATAAGGGGGTCAACAAGCCAAATTTTGAAACAAGGTAAGATATTAATTAATTGTTTTAAATTATTACTAAACCAATGGGGAGAAATGGGCTATTTAATGGAACTACTACTTTTAGTTAAAATTAAACGCTTTAGCAAAGTTCTATCAGATTTTAAAGTAAAGTTGTCAACCTATAGACCTTTTTTTTTATATTTAAATTATAACTTTAAAAAAAGTTTTAAACAATGGAAGTGTCAGCACCTTCATCTGGTCATACATCTTGCGCACCATAGAGAGATTCAAGGCATTTAAAGCCTTTGGTCTGTTCAATGTGATCACCCCAGTGTTGTTGGTGTGGTGGAAGAGTATTTCATCTGGGGCTTTGCTGGACATTTTTGCTAGCCTCTGAAACCAAAACCATTTATCTTAACATGAAAAATGCTAATTTCTATCCAACTTACAGCGCAGATATCTTTTGAAATAATTAAAACTTGTAATTGAAGATTTACTCATTAATTTGATTCTAATTCATTATTTTTATATAATAATACTCATTAATAAATAAGATTACTATTTTAAGTTCTTGAATGTTTTACTTATATTTAAAATCATACACAGTTGTTTGGGTTTTACTTATTTCATTACTTTTCAATAACTCGCAGTAATTTTCTTTTCTTATTCATCTTTAAATACTATGTAAGACAAATAAGTGCAGCAATAGGAAATTGACAAAAATCCTCACCAAATGTTTTATAACTACACGTAAACGAAGAGCAGATCTGAAACAACAGAAAATTTTATGATTCAACTTATTAAACAGATTTTCTGTGTATTTGTAAATTTAAAAAAAACTAAAAATTTAAAATAACTATAAAATATACATGTAATTAGCAATGTAAAGATGTCAATAAACTAAAGTTTTGTGATTATTATTGCAATGTAAATTAAAAACTAAAGTTTTAAAATTTTTTTTAACATTCACACCAAATTAGACTAAATAAAGGATACAAAATTTACTTATCAACCCATGTTTTGTGTAATTGTAAGATAACATGTATTTTTATTACAGTTATACAAATTGTAAAACATACAAAACATAACACTCTTAGCATACACATCAACCCATTGGCAATTATCACACAATTACTCCCATCTAATTAGATTGAGACCATAATGTATGCAACTATTTTGACAGACCACATTTCAATTAATGTCATTTGTGTCACAGGATGCAATTCTTGTGTACACCTTTACAAACAGATAACAACAGGATGGGTGGGTCTTTACAACAGCTGTTGCCATTAGTTTCAATCAAGCTATGTACATGAGATAGACTATTGATTGAGCTGCACACTCTGCTAATGAGGGTTTATTTACATCGTAAATGGGCACAATCGATAGAGGCTTATCTACATACAGCCCCGAATGACAGAAATACTTGTGTAGCCACGTGAAATTTACCTTTGAATGACAAATTCAAAGTACAAAGTATAGAAAATTATAAAACGTCCCCACAACTATGATTGCATTTTGAATTCATCTTACAAACTAAACATTCCTAAGCTGTGGCTTTTTAATTAAATGACTGATGGGGTGGTGGTGGGGGTAGTTTTATTATGATTCAAGCTAGTAACATATAACCAACTTCATTTATGACATATGATGTTTAAGTAGAAATGATGTTTACATTGTTCTTAAATTTGTAAAATTAAACCTTGTTGACAACTACGCTAAACCATCTTCAATATAATTTGAGGCAACAAAAAATCAATATAAAATGCTTAGTTTGTATCTAAAATAACATTTTTAACATAACACCCACAATACCTTGGCAACATGTCAGCATTTATACATCATACCAGCTGTCATAAAATCTGTTTGATGACAAGAAATAAAAAACTTGAAAGACAAAATCAGTTACTTTTATTAAACCATAGTATAGCATTCATAATAAGAAATTAGAAGCAAAAAAAACCTTTAATATTGCAATTCTCCTTCACCAACGAAAAGAAATAAGCTTGACACATGCTTATCAGTGTTTGTATTATCTTAAAACTTACAGCTTATCTTTTATAGTTACAACATTTTTTTTAATGTTGAAGCAGTTGCTATAGTAAAATCATCGTAACATTAACAATGTGACCAGACCATGAATCAATATTTGGAATTTTTTTTTGGATCAAGACAAAATAAACTTGTTCAGCTCAATTGAGAAATGTATTCCACTAAAGCAATTTAAGTTTTTATTGCACTAAAAATTAATAGATTTATAAAGGGGTCGGCATGGTTGCGAAACCGAAAAAGTCTCGAGTTCGAACCCTCAGGTAGATGAGGCTTGTTAGCTGGGGACAGCCACTCTTCTAGGAGAGGCAACTCCAAAATCAAACAACTACTGTCTTGTAGTTTGTTCTTGGTTGGACAAAGGCTATGGAAGAAAATCCAAAAGAAAAGCAGGCTGAAATCAGAGTCAATGGCGCATAACCAGTTGACATGTATCCTTAATTGTTTAGTAGAGGGATCCCTTCCAACATTAAAATTAAGAACGAAGAAGAAGAATAGCTTTATACGGGTAATACCCTAGATTGGTGGTTCGTAACCTTTTTGGAAGGAATTACCGAACCCTACCAGTTTCAAATATGTATAGTAAACAAAACATTATAATTAGTTTATCATCAGCACTGACAAATGCAATCGAGAATCATATGAGTCATGTGTATGTTCTGATCTCAGCCAAAATCAATGATGGACAGTAATAAAATAAGAAACACCCTGAACCATACCTTATTTATAAACTTTAAAAAAAAATGTAAGTCTACAAAAGTAAGAACCTAACTAAATTTTTAGTTCACGGCTCACTATGATATCCCATCAGTTAAGTAATCCGTAGACCTATAGCATTTATGTCATAGCATAAACTATTTGAGATTACTGGTGACTCATCCCCCCCCCCCCACAAACAAAGCAGTATCAGACACGTAGCTTACAGTTTCAAAATGAATGGTGGATGGTGCATTAAAAATACTGGTAGATAAATGATACATACACATTTGGATAAAGTGGTCAAGAAACCAGGCTCTTGAGATAGACAATTTTTTTTTATTGATCGGCAACATTTTAAAAAGCTATTTTAGAGAACTGCAAAGATTTATATTAGTTTTTATATTTATTTATTTTTTCAAACTTTTTACAGAAGTGCAACATTTTAAATTAGCTTTTTTTCTCAGAACTGCATTATTTTATAATATTTTGTTCAGATTATTTAAAATGAAAATACGTAGGCATAATTGAAAATAGCAGAGAAATTCAAAACTGATTTTTTGAGTAGTTAGTTAAATGATTATTTTTATATATAGTTTTATTTTCTTCTGTTAGTGCATGCATAAAAGCTTATTAATAATTATATAAACTAAGGATTCATTTTTGCCAACTGCATAGTTTAGTTATAACAGGTATGGGGTTGACATCTTTGTCATGTAATCAATAGGCAGGCTAGATGCTAATAGATTGCGCGGATGATTCTAAAAATGTTACCGCACCCAAATTCCAACATACCATTGATTTACATGAATTCTGATCCTGACTTTAAATTTTTTAAAAATTAACCTTTTATTTGCATTGTTTAAAATGTAGCTGTGCTGCAACAAACATAATTTAAGCCTATTGAATCACCAGATTAAACAACCCCTTACAAGTTACTTTTTGTCAACTTTAATTGTCACCTAGTTTGAAATAGCCTTAAAATAGCATTCAAAATTAGTTACTTTATATAAAAAAAGAACATAATTTAAATATTAGCCTGAAATTTTCTATTGACATTTTTACTTTCTCGTATATATGAAGTATAGAGAAAGTCTTATAATTGTGCAAAAAAAAAAAAAAATTGAGATTTTTACAAATCTCGATGTAAAAAAATCTCGACATTTTACACCGCACTGATACGGAAAAACATAATTTTGCAACCTTGTCCGTATGTCTGTGTGTGTCTGTCTGTGTGTAAACACGATAAATTGAGTACCGTTACAGCTAGGTTGATGAAATTTCATATATAAGTATCTTATCAAAATCGTAGATCCTGATCAACTTTTGAGCGATTTCCGATAACCGGAAGTGGTACTTTTTCTACTTTGAATTTTTCAAAAGCCTATAACTTGAGTACTATTTCAGATAGATAAATGAAATTTCACAAGTAAGTTAAAGATCTAATTCTCTACCTTCTGTCAAATTTTGAGTAATTTCCGTTGACAGGAAGTACTAATTTACGCTATTTCCGATTTCTCAAAAAACCAAAAAACGCATGTAAATTTATAAAGTACTAATAATTTTGCGCACTATTATGCACATTTTGTTTTGGCATTCGCTTGGTGCGCAATTCTTTTTTCTATGAGATTCTATTCTATTTTTAAAAGTTTAAGTAAACAAAAATCATGTCTATATTCCGAGATGCCATCCCACGTAGTGTTATATTAGAATATTTGAGAAAGTTTAGGGGAGATCACTCCCGGTTTATTCAGTTAGATATTTAATTATATTTTCCTGAAAAGTAAAGTTAAATGTTGTTATGCTATAGTAAGTCTAAGCTTCATCTCTCTGGTTTCTCTTTGACATTAATCTTGCATGCGTAGTAGTGGAGCTATTAGCTTGTGTGAACTTACAATGACCCAGGTGTTTTTCATTTTCATAATGCTTGGTTAGGGGAAAAAACCAAATTGATGACACAGACAATCTCAAATAGCAATGTTTATACTTTGACAAATGCTATAGGCCAGTAAGTATCTAAACCTATGTGAATTTACAGTAACCTCTCAACAATGTTGTAATTTTCTGCTGCTGACAACAAAATGTACACATGAGATCATTTCATATAGGCAATAATGATTAGACAATAGAATTGGCATATTTCTTGGATATTTTTAAAAATCTACATTTTGATAAAAAAGGGATTTACAAGATCATACAATGCTAGTGATCACTCTACTCAGACCTACTTGTTCAGTTAAAAACTATTCTTCTTGCAAATCTAAACAAATCTACGTAAGCTATAAAAAAAATAAATTAGGCCTATAATGGCTGAAAATTGAATCTTGTTATTCACCCATAATTCCACAAGTATGTCTTGCATTTAACTACCTCAACATTTGGTTTTTGCATTTTACCTATGTCTTACTATTACTTAGTGAGGCAGGTTGGGAGTGTGTTGTTTTCTCAATCACTAGTGATTAGACTCAACTTACTTATTTTTAGTTAAAGCCTGAATTTGAAAATAGTAGGCTTGGCTTACACAGCGCAGAGTAGGCCTACGCTAACTTTCACTTGAGTGACAGTGTCAGTTTATGTTTTCAGATGTGTGTAATTCAGTTAATACACCCATAGTTAAACATAAACTCAATAGATCTAGAATCTAAAAACAAAAGCTAGATCTACTGCCAGTGATGTGTGGTGATGTGAATGTTACACTCATACATGATATAGATCTACATTCTACACTGAAATACACTCTCACTGCACTGAGGCAGCAGTGACACTGAGTCCTGAGACTGGGACGGACAGTGACAGCCCCATTCAACTTATTATTAGTCTTATTATTAAATATAGGTTGTGATGAAAAGAAAACAAAGCAATGTGATATTAGCTAATTACATGAATGACTGGGAATTAATTATCGTTTACAGATTCTGGATCAAGAATCTGCAAATAAATAAAACAAAATAATATTTAGAAAACAACCACCGACTTAATATTGCTCTCCAGTGTAAAAAGTTTTTAAAAATGTTGGTACAGTCTAAAACCGCAAGGAACGTTACAATACTTAAAGTAAACTTTAACCAAGCGCATTGTTTATATATATATATATATATATATATATATATATATATATATATATATATATATATATATATATATATATAGATCTAGAAGAAAAACACGCCCCATGTAGATCTAGGTCTTTATAGGCTACACGATTTCTAACTATTAATATTTGAAGATACGATTTCCTTTTATTTTCGGCTATGCGGGCTATGGTATTGAATGCATAGTTACCTCAATAGTTCAAGACAACACATTATAAACCTAGTCTAACTATGTAGACCAATCTACAGTTACAATGTAGTCTAGTCTAAATTAAATTAGAAAAAATGTATTTGCATGGTGTATTTTAAAATGTACCGAATAATACGGACTTATTTGTTTTATACACCCTTATTTGCAGATGAAGCTAAGTTACCTGATACTACTGACTATTATCTGCCTTGAAGTTGTAGCGCACAGAAGAGGCGGTTTGTTTCAAAACATATTATCTAGCCCTACCAGAGGCGTAGCGAGGGGGAGGGGGGGGGGGGCGGGGGACATATGTCCTCGGGCGCCGACCTTAGGGGGGGGGGGCGCCAAATTGAAAGTTTGAGGGGGGGGGTGCAAATGAAAAGTTCGAGGGGGGTGCAAATCGAAAGTTTAAGGGGGGTGGGGTGTGCAAATAAAAAGTTCGAGAGGGGGGTGCAAATCGAAATTTTGAGGTGGGGGCGGGGGGGGGGGGTGCAAATGAAAAGTTCAAGGGGGGGGGGGGTACAAATCGAAAGTTTGTCCCCGGGCGCCGGAAAGGGTCGCTACGCCTCTAAGCCCTACACTTCTTATACATTACAATGCAATATTTAAAAAGAAGATTGTTCATGTTTTGTCAACGCGGAAAAGATAGATTTTTAATAGTGTTTTTTAAAAAAAAAAGTGTGCCTGCTAAAAAAAAAAATTAAACGATTTACAAGGACTATTGTGCTTACATTTTTAAACACTTTTATTTAAGGGGTCATCCATAAATGACGTCAAAAAAGCCCCCCCCCCCTCCTCCCTAAAATGACTTCACACCTCAGCCAACAACTCCTTTTAAAATTTCATTATTTTTTTGAAACATTGATTTTTTTTACTAAAACATTAAATGATCTAGGTCAACATTGGGTATTTAATCAATTTCTATTACAATTTAATAAATCAGTTTTCTGAAACGCCAAATAACTGTTTCTAAATTTTTAAAAAAATAAAAATGGTAAAGTGTCAAGTAACACTATTTGACCCCCTTCTCATAACACATCGTCACAAAATTACGAATATGACGTCATTTATGGATAGTCCATTACAGTGGGGTAGCGAGGTCGGGTGTCACCCGGTGCGGCACTTAATGGTGTCACCCCCCCCCCCCCCCAAGAGGCATAGAGACCCTTCCCAGGGACAAACTTTCAAATTTTCGATTTGCACCCCACCCCCTCAAGTTTTCGATTTGCACCCCCCCCCCCCCCCCTCAAACTTTCGATTTGCACCCCCTCTCGAGTTTTTCTCTATATATTTTGCTATGTTTTGCCTTGGTGTCGCCCCCCTAAATGGTGTCACCCGGTGCTGTCCGCACCCCCCGCCCCCCCCCCCCCTCGCTACGCCCCTGGTCCATTAGGCGTAATCAAACATGCCTATCAAATCTGATTGTTTTAACAATTGAATAACCTATAAGAATACACGTGTACATTGTAGGCTACACGTTAACATCAATGTTTCTTCCAGACTTATTTTCTCTGGGGGGGGGGGTCGGACACTGGTAAACGTGTATATTTTCTATATAAATTCTGTTTCGTTCGGGGGGGGGGGTGACGGTTTTTCGGGTGGAGGGGTGGGGGGAGAGATGCCTGAAAGTAACTCTGATTAACATAGATCACACCTTTTTTTTAGGCTTTCGCAAATCTCGCAGACATCGAGGCGACTTGTTGAGACACCGTGGACACCGTGGACACAGAATTCACCGTCACAGAGATCAGTTTCATAGACCTCACAGACACAGGCATCGGCTTGAAAGGTTCCACAGAAGGAAAGATTTTTCTAGAAGATTTCGTAAAGACCGAGACCATTCGGTAATATTTCATCGGACAAAAGATCTCGATAAAAATATACCCAGAAGCAACGAATTTTTCCGGAGATTTCACCGTAAGGAAATTGATTCACCGGAATTATACAATAGAAAAGAAAATTCAAGAAAAAATTATAAAATTAAAAAGCACAGCCCACGTTTTCATGAATTTGAAGATAGTTTCCAAAATCACGACGAACCCCTTGACTACTCAACTCAAAACAGCAGACAGGATGCTTCACCAAGCTCACCGCAATCTAATTCTCAACAATGTGCAAAAGCTGATATTGTTCTTCTTCTGGAATCTTCGACACAAGTGGACGAGAATGACTGGGAGAGTATCATTGCCTACCTTGAGGACCTTGTTCAAGAATTTGATTCGGACTCCTACGACGTTCGCTTCGGACTAGTCACATACGACAAAAATCCGACAAAAATATTTGATTTGAACAGTCATTCAGATTTTCCTTCAATACTAAGTGTAAGATGTTTTGACTCACGTTGATATATATGTTACGGTCAAAGCCCGAAGTCGGCCAATGCGCGGATTGGCCGGCCAATCCGCGCATTGGCCAATATCGCCTCCCATAGGTCGATCAAAGTCCGAAACTTTGCTTGATTTCGGCCTTTGGCCGGCCAGTCCGCGGACTGGCCATGGTGGACCGGCCAAAGTCTTAATTTGAAGATCATCTGGCTAAGTACGACCTGGCCAAAGTCCGAATTAGAAAATCATGAGCAGATTTTGGGTTTTTCAATGCCGTAAGGATCATGAAATTAAGCCTTTATTGATTATTATTTATTGATTATTAATTAAAGTAAATGACAGAAACATTCAAATTTTTTATTGTACTCTAGTCTCAATCAGTCAGTATTATCATTCGTTACAACAAGTTGAACTTTTATGGCATTTAGAATTACATAGCAGCTTGTTATTTTTACACTTGCAGCGATTTGTTGTGCACTTGGTTGTGCAATTGCAGCGAGTGTAGCCTTGGCCCCCAGTCAATAATTGTGAAGATGCGATAGTTCGTAGTGATTTTTCCTCAGTGCCAACTGATGACAATAAGAGCAGTTTTTCGTGAAGAATTGAAAACTCACTTCTAGCATACAGTTGTTTTAGAACACCATGTTCCGTTCCTAATTTGTAGAAACCGCCCTCGACGCTCATGACAACTGCAATCACGCTTCGGGGATCACCGCGACCTCTGTCAACATCTGGAAAACGGATGCGTACATTGTCACCCACTTCACCATCTTTAAATTTTGTATTTGATGTTTTAAGCATCTTAGCACCTTGACTTTGCAAGCCAGTATGAGCTGCTGACCTGTGTTCCATGATGTCTTGTTTGTTGTGACACAATCTGCAGGTAATGTTATCTCCGTACCCTTCGTCTGCTTCATTGGGTACTCCACAAATAGCATGGACATCTTTGCCACAGGATCCACAAGAATGAGTTGTACTACAGTGTTTTTCACAAACTATACAGAATCTGTTGGCCACATAATTGTCACGCAACTGGTCTGGACTTTCCGCCACGGCAGCAGATGTGTTAGCTGAGGATGTAGTTGCATTAATGTCAACCTCCATTTCTTGTTCAATGTTCTCAAGATCTTCCTCAGTAACTATTTTATCGAGAGCCTCTCTTGGTAGATTTGAAGTGCTAAGTCCCACTTTTGCTTTGCACCCAAACAAGGCTTCGTATGGTGATTGTTGGATTCCTTGATGAAAAGAACGATTTTTCATAAATTGAATGAATTTGAGACCCTCAGCCCAATGAGCTGATTCATTTGTTTGCATCCATGTCATCATCATATTTTGAACATCTTGGTTGGCACGTTCGACTGAACCTTGGCTTTGGCTATGCCTTGGTTTTCCGTGAACTAGTTTAAGTTAGGCCACATGTTCTTTAGTTCAGAAATAACTTGATTCACAAATTCTCTTCCATTATCTGATTGAAGCACACTTGGGGCACCAATAGTCGTGAAGATATCCAGCAGCTGGTATGCAACTTCTTCTGCTCTTTTGGTTTCCAAAGCTCGCAACAATATGAACTTGGTTAAATGATCCTGGTAACTGAGTATAAACTTCTATTTGCCGTCTGGGTTACTTTGCATATCAATAAGATCTACTTGGCATCTTGAGTTAAATTCTTTAACTATCAAAAGTTTGGAAACAAGACCTTTCCTGGGATTAGACAGTTTTGTCTGACAAGGCTTGCACAACCGAAGATACATAGTAATGATTTCTTTGGTGATATTTTTGTACTTTCTCTTAAGCTCTTTTTCCATCCATGTGGATGCTATACAAACAAGAGCTTAACAATACGTTACTCACAATGAAACCGAACCCAGAATAATGAAAACGCGATCACAACTTAGTCTAGATAGAACATTGGCCAGATGCGCGCATTGGCCGGCCAATGTACAAAATACGCTGTCAAGTTTAAGAACTTCGGACTTTGGCCAGTACGTCCCGGCCAGTGTGCGCATTGGCCGGCCAATGTACGAAATACGATCTTAGTTCTAAGTTCTTCGGCCTTTGGCCAAAAGAGCCGGCCAATCCGCGCATTGGCCGGCCAATCCGGGTTTTGGCCGCACTTCGGGCTTTGACCGTAATATATATATATATATATATATATATATATATATATATATATATATATATATATATATATATATACAGTCTATGTGGCAAGTGAAGTAGAGTTGACCTGTTTCTGTGACCTCAGCATATGAAGAGATAGTGTGGTCAGCACTATGCCAGCCGCCTTTACTTTCCCTAACGTGAGTTAGGTAACCATCACATCAATGTGGACATGGACGGTCTACTGAGTTGAACGTGGATTCGAACCAGAGTTTCTTCCAGGCATCTCTTCGGGGGGCTCTAGCCCCCCCGAAAATTTTTTACCGCCCCCCCCCCCCCCCCCCCGAACGAAATGAAATTTATATAATTTATATAGAAAATATATACTTTTAACAGTGTCCGACCCCCCGAAGAAAGTCTACCGCCCCCCCGAAAATTTCAAGTGCCCCCCCCCCCCCCCGGAGAAAAAAGTCTGGAAGAAACACTGATTCGAACTCGAGACTTACGGTTTAGCAGTCTAGACGTCTACCGCTAGGCCACTACGTCCCTTTATATGCATATAAGTCGTAATTTATACGCCTAATTTTTTAATGTTGATTTTAAACTTATCTTTTTTAGGCTTATTTAAAAAGTATATTGTTTGTCTACTCTAGGTGTCGACAGTTTTCCAAAAGTTTTGATATGATATTTGTTATGATATCAGACATGTAGGGCCTATTAATTTCTTACGATTGTTATTATAACATTCTTTGGTTTCCAGGAGATTTCTTTGATAAAATATCCACACATAGAGGGAAGTAACCTACACCTGGGACTACATGAAATCCTGACAGAGGAAATGTTCAGCTCTGCATTCGGTGGGAGGGCGGATGCTAAGCACATTGTTTTAGCGATCACTGACGGGAATGCTGACGATGTGGGACAAGGTTCAGACTTTGTATAACATATTGCTGATTTATATGTGGTCGTTTTAATAGGAGACTTTATTTACATATGATATGAAAATCCAGGCGTTAAAGAGAACTTGAGGAGATCCAGAACGTGTTGCACATGCATTTAGTCCCCTCGCCACACAGCTGATGAACCCAAAAAAAGCATTACCCATACTGCTTAGCATCAGCAGCTGTGTCTATCGCAGGAGTTTAGTGTTTCTTCCAGACTTTTTTCTCCGGGGGGCACCTGCAATTTTCGGGGGGGGGGGGGGGGGACGACAAAAACTTCCGGACAGTGTTAAATGTTAAAAGTATATATTCTCTATATAAATTCCATTTCGTTCGGGGGTGCGGATCGGAGCCCCCCCCCCCCCCCCCCCGAAGAGATGCCTGGAAGAAACTCTGCAGGAGTTGACAAAGGAAAACCAGATATGGTTATCCTATTGCCTACCTGAGCTGCTCGTCTCCTGTTTGCTTTTGAGTTTTTTTATAACTTCTTTTTTTACCTTACAGTATAAATAATAGTTTTTTTTTGTTTAAAAAAACTAAATAAACTTAGTTTGTCTTCTGCTGCGAATTGAAAATTATTTCTACGCCTGGCCCAATTTGCAAAACAGAACGCCTGCACGTTTTCTTTTGAAAAAAAAAATCCTCCCTTCGGCAAAAACATTATTCACCTTGGCAACGACACGATGCAACCCTGTACGAAGAGGGTTTGGGAATTTTGTGATGTAACAATAAGTTGTTTGGAAAGGAATTTAAATACTCTTTGTTTGGGTGTTACAAGTAACTGAAATATAGTTGTGTTTTTTTTTTAAATTAAGATGTTCAAACAATCAATAATCAAATTTGTCAAATCTCGGTAAGTGTATAGCTGAAACAACTTAAAACGTTCATTACGTTTAACTATGCCGTCAGAGTTAAAATATGTTAACTAAATGTGACACTAAAAAATTATATCGCATCTTTATTTTTATTTCGCATTAAATTTTTAATTCACTTGACTCGCCAGTGAAAGAAACGGCTGACGAGCTGAAGAAAAGTGACGTCACCATCATGGCAGCCCATCTTGGCCAACAAACAAATGACGAGATTTTGCACGAACTAACCAGTGACGCTTCTTACGTTTTTTCTTTGACTGAAATAAAAAATCTTGCCAGTGCCATCTCAGGCTTAGCAACAACTACATGCCCAGGTTACTTTAGAGATTTAAAAAATATATATTACATATGAAACGAAGTGTTTCTTCATAGTTTTGAAAAAAGCCTTAAATTATTTTGTTATAATGTTTTAGTTTTTAGTAAAATAATGGGTTTAAAAAAATTATTATTTGAGACTAATGCTGTAATAACGGTTTTCACTCTGAAGATGACGATGACCCAGAAGAACCAACAACAACAACAACAGAGAGTTCAACAATCGGCCCGTCTACAACTATTTCAGTACAACAATCAACAGCAGTCGAAGAAACAGCTAGTCCTCAGGAAACAGCACAGTTAAAAATAATTACAGACTCAATTTTAACATCATTAAAAACATTAGGTTCAACAACAACTTACGAAAGAGCAAATACAGTACCAATAACAACAATACATACAACAACAACAAAACCAACAATAAAAACAAAATCAACAACAAGAGAACCAACAACTACAGAATTAACAACAGAACCAACAACTAAAGTAGCAACAATAACAGAATCAACTAAAACGGAACGAACAACAACAGAACTAACAACAGAACCAACAACAAAGGAACAAACAACAACAGAACAAGCAACAACAGAACCAACAATAACAGAAACAACATCAACAGAACCAAGAACAACAGAAACAACAACAACAGAACCAACAACTACAGAACCAGCAACAACGGAACCAACAACAACAGAAACAACAACAACAGAACCAACAATAGAAGCAACAACAACAGAAACAACATCAACAGAACCAACAACAACAGAAACAACAACAAAAGAATCAACAACTACAGAACCAGCAACAACAGAACCAACAACAACAGAAACAACAACAACAGAACCAACAATAGAAGCAACAACAACAGAACTAACAACAGAACCAACAACAAAGGAACAAACAACAACAGAACAAGCAACAACAGAACCAACAATAACAGAAACAACAACAACAGAAGCAACAACAACAGATACAACAACAACAGAACCAACAACAACAGAAACAACAATAACAGAACCAACAACTACAGAACCAGCAACAACGGAACCAACAACAACAGAAACAACAACAACAGAACCAACAATAGAAGCAACAACAACAGAAACAACATCAACAGAACAAACAACAACAGAATTGACAATAACAGTACTAGCAACAACGGAAGAAACAACAACAGAATCAACAACTCTAGAAGCAACAACAACAGAAACAACAACAGAACCAACAACAACAGAAGCAACAACAGAGCCAACAAAAACAGAACCAACAACATCAGAAGCAAAAAGAACAGAAACAACAACAGAACCAGCTACAACAGAACCAACAACAACGCAACCAACAAGAGCGAAACTAACCACAACGGAACCAATTATAACCAAAACAAAAACAACAGAACAAATAACAACAGAACAAATAACAACAGAAACAACAACTAGAGAATCAATAACTACAAGAGCAGAACCAATAAACATTGAACATACAACTATAGAAATAACAACTACAGAAAAAGTAACAGCATTTACAGCAGCAACAACTAAGGAAACATCACCAACAACTACAAAACCAACAATCACAAATACGGAACCAACTACGACAGAACCAACAACGACAGAACAAACAACAACTTCTGAAACAACAAAAGCTGCAGAATCAGCAACAACGACAGAAGCAAAAACAATAGAACCAACAACTTCAGAACCAACAAGTACAGAAGCAGCAGCAACAACTGCAGAATTAACAACTACAGAACCAATAACGACAGAATTAATAACGACAACAGAAACTCCAGTAACAAAGACAGAACCAGCAACAACCACAGAAACAGCAACAATAGAATTAACAACTACAGAATCAACAGCAACTACAGAACTAGCATCAACAGAATCAACAACTACAGAACTAAAAACAGAATCAACATCGACAGAACCAACAACTACAGACACGGCAAAAAAAGAACTAACAACTACAGAATCTACAACTACAGGAACAAAAACAGCTAGAGAATCAACTGCAACTACAAAAGAAGCAACAACAAAATTAACAACTACAGAATCAGCAACAACGACTGAACCAACTACGACAGAAACAACAGAACAAACAACAATGACAGAAGAAACAATAGCTACAGAATTATCATCAACAACAACAACTAAAACAACAACGATAGAAACAACAATTAAAGAACCAACAACAACAGAATCAACAACGATAGAACCTACAACGACAAAACCAACAATAAATACAGAAACAACAGCTTCAGAATCATCAACAGCTATACAATCAACAACGACAGAACCTAAAACTAAAGAAGCAACGACAGAACCAACAACAACTACAGAAACAACAGAAACAACGACAACAGAAACAACACCGTCTAAATTTACAAGAACTACAGAACTTACAGCGAGAAAATCAACCATTTTAGCAACTACGTCTAAATCAACAACAGCTGAACTGACAACAGCGAATTCTACAACATCTAAACAAATATCAACAACAGAACCACCACCAACATCAAAACCATCGACATCAAAATCGACAATAGAACCACTAACAACAGTAGAACAAATAACATCTCAAATTAACAACACAGCTACTACAACACAAAGAAACACAAAAATATCAACCTACAGCTTTCAGTCTCAAAATACCAGCACCACGCCAAAGAACTTACCCGTATCTTCCACTTTAAAAACTCTACAAACATCCCCACTATCAGGTAAGTCATTCAGATTTGGTAGTAAAAGAATGAAAGAAAATAATAGTTATTTCGTTTATTTAGAGCATTCTCAAAGGAAAACGAAGCCTAAATTTTTAATAAAAGCTAATTTCAAAACAAAAATATATTTATTTTTTTTATAATTGAAAATATGATAGTAAAATGTAACAACTATCCACACGGCCCAGAAGTAAAAATATATTTTTTTTTCTATTACGTACAAGTAGAAAATCCAAATAAACTGTAACAAAATAAATTAGAAAACTGTATGAGAAGTAACATTTATCTTTCATATAGTGTTACAGAACACTTCAAGAAGTCCACTCAAATTCTGTCCAACCAAAACGGACGTCGTTCTCGTGTTAGATGCATCATCAAGTATTGGCCCGCGCCATTGGTCGGTTCTCATCAGCTTTGCAGCACTGCTAATTGAACTTTTCCCTCTAGAAGACAACATATTCCACATTGGCGCTCTACTTTTTAACAACGTTTCAACTGAAATATTCCCACTCGCTTTCTCACAAAATTACAGCACAATTTCTAAGGTATGCTAACAATAATTGAGTTACATTAGCAGCATTGATAAATACCAGTTTAGCACACTGTGAAGCAGGGGAATTCAAATAGCATAAAATAGCTGCGGCCAGTACTGCGGTCAGTACCATTAAGCCTCAAAAATAGCCAAATACCAATTAGAATTGAGTGGTCTACGGAACGGAACGGGTTTATCGTGTTAGCCTTATTGTGCTCTATCATCCGACACGACCACTCTAAACAAATGGCTCCTGTTGCTGTGGCACGGAGTGAGTGTAAATGTAAACACAGGTTGTTTGAACAAGTGGCTTTTGCTATTTGTGGCTTGAGCACAACAGTGCTTTGACCAGAGGTGCTTTGTCAATCGTTACTTCGTCTACTTTAGTGGTTCGACCACTGGTTCGTAGCGCACTAGCTATATGAGTCGCGTTTCTTTTAGGCATCTCTTTGTTGGGACATGGTTTACAAATTACCCACCCCCAAAGAAAATAGAAAAAAGTTAATCGTGCTTTACCCGAAAGTGTCAATAATCTCCTACAGGGTAAATTGTATAAAAGAAACACTGCATCTGAGATATGCCACCGTTACTTTCTCCACTGCTGGGTTTTTTACCAACGCTACCTTATCCATATATTTATTTAAAAATACAGCGATGGGAGCACCTAAAACTAAACTACCACCCTTCTATTTTCTAGATCTTGCTTGGCACCCCGTATCCAAGGCAGCAAGGAACCTACACACATCTGGCCCTGAAACACGCAAAAGCCATGTTTGACCAGAGAAACGGAGGACGGGAAGACGCCAGACGTGTCGTCATTGTCATCACGGATGGGGAGTCTAGAGCACCGAGGAGAAGTAAGTTGTGCTAGAGCTTTGTGTTCAATACATCACAGTTGGGGAGTCTAGAGCACCGAGAAGTAAGTTGTGCTAGAGTTTGTGTTCGATACATCACAGATGGGGAGTGTAGAGCACCGAGGAGAAGTAAGTTGTGCTAGAGCTTTGTGTTCAATACATCACAGATGGGGAGTCTAGAACACCGAGGAGAAGTAAGTTGTGCTAGAGCTTTGTGTTCAAAACATCACAGATGGGGTGTCTAGGGAGAAGTAAGTTCAGCTAGAGCTTTGTGTTCAAAACATCACAGATGTCTAGAGCACCTAGAAAAAGTAAGTTCAGCTAGAGCTTTGTGTTCAAAACATCACAGATGTCTAGAGCACCTAGAAAAAGTAAGTTCAGCTAGAGCTTTGTGTTCAAAACATCACAGATGGGGTGTCTAGGGAGAAGTAAGTTCAGCTAGAGCTTTGTGTTCAAAACATCACAGATGTCTAGAGCACCTAGAAAAAGTAAGTTCAGCTAGAGCTTTGTGTTCAAAACATCACAGATCTTATCACAGATGGAGTGCATAAGGATGGTAACCAATGGATGGTAATTTTTATAGCTTAGCTCTTGATTGTGTATATTATGGCAATGACTGCAAAATATTAAAATGTATAGGCATTTGGCTTTAAGTCAACATTCCTCAAGTGTACCGTATCTTTAAAATAGACCATTACAATTAACATCCCAGATACGAGAATTGCGTTTTTTTGTTATGATACTATCATCATATCAAAGCTAATTCACTTTAACCTTTTAGAATTTTTACCATAATGTCCAAACTATAGACTTAAAATAATCCACGTATGCGCTTGTCCACTGGTTATATTCACCCTCGTCTACATAATAGACCATTACCCTTAACATCCCAGCTAAGAGGATCGCCCAGCTTCTGAAGACCAGCAACATCACCATCATAGCCGTGGGGGTGGGGTCAGACATCAACGTCCAAGAGCTGGAGGACATGGCCAGCGGTCCAGCGTTTGTCTTTACAACCACAGACTTCGCCAGTTTATACAGCATCAAGAAACAGCTTGTCTACAGCACATGCCTCACTAGTAAGTATTACACTCTTCACTGTGAGAGGCTGTGGTAAGTAGGTAAATACGCAAACGTTGGTAAAATAATTTGTTGAAACATAAATCAATGTAGCGGGAAACGAGTGAATGATGATTGTCCCAAACTCACGAGCCAAAATGTCATTTGTCTGAAGAGAAATGTACATAAAGCCATTAGCCAAAATAAAATAATCTATATGTAAAAATATTTTTTGCCTGTTTCGGTTTGCAACCATTTTTTTATGTTTTGTGTAGCTGATAGCTCGATTAAGCTAAATGCAACAACGAAACAGACACCAAGCTTTAGAGACACACCATCATCATCAGCAACACCAGACCAGTCAAAGCCTTCTACAAAAAGCAACGGTGAAACACCATCAACAACTGCAACAACAGAAGCAACGGAAACTTCTACATCAAGATTTAGCGACACTTCATCACTACCAGCAACAACAGAACCGACGGAAACTTCTACAGCAAGCAATGGTGTCACACCATCAGCTACTGCAACAGAAAGTCCTTTCAGCTTTACTATGATAAAACTACTGGAGACATCAACACTTAGCTCGATAGTCACCACATCAACCACACAACCGACGCCTACATCCACCAGCCCCCAACCCACCACATCAACCACAGCAACCACACAACCGACGCCTACATCCACCAGCCCGCAACCCACCACATCAACCACACAACCGACGCCTACATCCACCAGCCCCCAACCCACCACATCAACCACAGCAACCACACAACCGACGCCTACATCCACCAGCCCGCAACCCACCACATCAACCACACAACCGACGCCTACATCCACCAGCCCCCAACCCACCACATCAACCACAGCAACCACACAACCGACGCCTACATCCACCAGCCCGCAACCCACCACATCAACCACACAACCGACGCCTACATCCACCAGCCCCCAACCCACCACATCAACCACAGCAACCACACAACCAACGCCTACCACCAGCCCTCAACCTACCACATCAACCACACATCAGACGCCAACCACCAGCACCCACGTCACTACATCAACACCAGTACCTGAAACTAAACCAACCAAACCATACAGGATTCCTTTTATTCCTCTTATAATCTTTCAGCCAGACCTTAACCCAAAGGATCCACAAACCACTCAAGCTTCTAACAAAGGTTTCGTATGATGTATATATTACTTTTTGTATTTGATACTCCTTTTGATTTAACCTTAAATTATGGAAATATTCTAAATTAATGAGAAACAAACTAAAAAAGTAATTTTTTTAACAAAATAGAAAATGCGAAATTATTTTACTGTATGACGCCATATGCGGTAGATATAAACTGAAATGGTCTGGGGTCCTCAATACCTGACGTCACGCTGTAGAAAGCATTTCCGTCTCTACCCCGCCCCTCAACGCTACCCCAACCTCGATCAATTCACAGCCTTTATCGTCAGCTGTGTCAAGTTTAACACTTGACTTCAACTCGAAGCTCATTGCCAGTGGCGCAGGCGTGGGGGGGGGGGGGGGGGGTTAGGGGGGGTCATAACCCCCCCCATACACCCCTCGGTATATATATAAAAAGTACAGGGGGGTGCAAATCGAACGTTTGAGGGGGGGGGGGTGCAAATCGAAAGTTTGTCCCCGGGTAAAAATTGGACCCCCCCCCTTGAGACAATCCTGGCTATGCCACTGCTCATTGCAATAAAACTTAGCGACCCCCTCCCCACACCCCTGTTAGATGTATGACATTATTTAACAATGAGTTCTTATTAGCTATAGTTTTAAAAAAAATATATTATACAGTACTGATTTCGTGAAAACTTCTAAATTCAATTATCTCAATTTATTTGAGAATGGTAACTTATATTTAATAAATTGATCATAATATTTTTTTAAGTGTTAGGGGATCTTCTGTATTAAGGGTAGCAATTATTAAATGAAAAACAATTACACTATTTTTTATTACTCAAATATAAATAACTAACCACATACTTGTGAATAGCATATTGTTACTTAAACCATTAACCTAATTAAAATGTAATACCATTGTGCAAGCACTATTTTCCTTTAATATAATGTGCAGCCTCTGCCACACCAACGACAAAATCAACCACCAAGAGTTTACCTGTCGTGAGGCTTACGACAATTGGTCAGTCACATCTTACATCAACACCACATTACTTTACAGGAACAACAACTAAATCGTCGACTACCATAAACACTCAACCATCAACACAGCAACCGACTACCACTGGCCCAACAACTCGAGGAAATATAAAAACAACCTGTGAAAACAAAGGCATAGGTACTTCATGATTTTTTAAAACCTTCTCCACAATTTAAAGAAAATGTTAAAATTACTTTTTTAAAATGTATACAGAAATATCTAGTTTACAACACTGTTGAAGTAAAAAAATGTTTATCTTGCTCAATCTCGTAATCGAAGTTTTATGAATAAGCGTTAACCTACTTTTCGTATTGGCACAAACACTAAAGCCAGTGTTTTTTCCAGACTTTTTTCTCCAGGGGGGGGGGGGGGGCACTTGAAATTTTCGGGGGAGGGGGGGGGGGGCTGTAGATTTACTTCGGGGGGGGGGGGGGGGACGACACTGTTAAAAGTATATATTTTCTATATAAACTTCAATTCGTTTGGGGGTGGGGGATAGACTTTCCGGGGATGGGTATTTTCTATAATAACCATCTACAACTAAACAGTCGTGTTATAGTTAACTGTAATATTTCTCGCAGCCTGAAAATGTTAGCTTTAGTTCCCCCTCCTACCCTGTGCAAACATTCACTAGCGTTGATACCATCTGGGTTTAGACTGATGGAGGTAGGAATTGGAATAGAAATATCAACATTGAACATCTAGGCCCTAGTTGTTTTAGTTTTACGTAGTGCTGTTACGTTAATGGATTGAAACAATAGTCAATGTTAAAAAAATGATTCTTTTATACCTAGGGATTTATAAAAATAACTTTTGTTTAATATTATTCTATCTACGTTTACGTGATTAAAAACATTAACCCTAACATTAACACTAACCCTGAATATTAACGTCACATCCCCAGCCCCACCCACCACGCCCAAGCCATGCCAGGGACGCGCTGACGTCATCCTGGTGCTAGACGCGTCCACCAGCATCGGCCCCCTCCACTGGAGAGTGCTGGTCAAGTTTGCCGCCGAGCTGACCCAGGCATTCGCCCTAGGACCGGACGCGTTTCAATTCGCTGCCATCATTTTCAACAGATTCCCCAGCAAAATATTTGACCTGATCGAATACAAGAGCCATGGGAATCTTTCTAAGGTAGGTGTTGATGAGAATCTTTGTAAGGTAGGTGTTAGTTTGTTGATGAGAATCTTTGTAAGGTAGGTGTTAGTTTGTTGATGAGAATCTTTGTAAGGTAGGTGTTAGTTTGTTGATGAGAATCTTTGTAAGGTAGGTGTTAGTTTGTTGATGAGAATCTTTGTAAGGTAGGTGTTAGTTTGTTGATGAGAATCTTTCTAATGTAGGTGTTAGTTTGTTGCTAAGAATCTTTCTAAGGTAGGTGTTAGTTTGTTGATGAGAATCTTTGTAAGGTAGGTGTTAGTTTGTTGATGAGAATCTTTCTAATGTAGGTGTTAGTTTGTTGCTAAGAATCTTTCTAAGGTAGGTGTTAGTTTGTTGATGAGAATCTTTGTAAGGTAGGTGTTAGTTTGTTGATGAGAATCTTTGTAAGGTAGGTGTTAGTTTGTTGATGAGAATCTTTCTAAGGTAGGTGTTAGTTTGTTGATGAGAATCTTTGTAAGGTAGGTGTTAGTTTGTTGATGAGAATCTTTCTAATGTAGGTGTTAGTTTGTTGCTAAGAATCTTTCTAAGGTAGGTGTTAGTTTGTTGATGAGAATCTTTGTAAGGTAGGTGTTAGTTTGTTGATGAGAATCTTTGTAAGGTAGGTGTTAGTTTGTTGATGAGAATCTTTCTAAGGTAGGTGTTAGTTTGTTGATGAGAATCTTTCTAAGGTAGGTGTTAGTTTGTTGATGAGAATCTTTCTAATGTAGGTGTTAGTTTGTTGCTGAGAATCTTTCTAAGGTAGGTGTTAGTTTGTTGATGAGAATCTTTATAAGGTAGGTGTTAGTTTGTTGACGAGAATCTTTATAAGGTAGGTGTTAGTTTGTTGACGAGAATCTTTCTAAGGTAGGTGTTAGTTTGTTGCTAAGAATCTTTCTAAGGTAGGTGTTAGTTTGTTGCTGAGAATCTTTCTAAGGTAGGTGTTAGTTTGTTGCTGAGAATCTTTGTAAGGTAGGTGTTAGTTTGTTGATGAGAATCTTTCTACTGTAGGTGTTAGTATGTTGAAGAGAATCTTTGTAAGGTAGGTGTTAGTTTGTTGCTAAGAATCTTTCTAAGGTAGGTGTTAGTTTGTTGATGAGAATCTTTATAAGGTAGGTGTTAGTTTGTTGACGAGAATCTTTATAAGGTAGGTGTTAGTTTGTTGACGAGAATCTTTCTAAGGTAGGTGTTAGTTTGTTGCTAAGAATCTTTCTAAGGTAGGTGTTAGTTTGTTGACGAGAATCTTTCTAAGGTAGGTGTTAGTTTGTTGCTGAGAATCTTTCTAAGGTAGGTGTTAGTTTGTTGCTAAGAATCTTTCTAATGTAGGTGTTAGTTTGTTGCTGAGAATCTTTGTAAGGTAGGTGTTAGTTTGTTGATGAGAATCTTTCTACTGTAGGTGTTAGTATGTTGAAGAGAATCTTTGTAAGGTAGGTATAAGTTTCTTTCTAAGGTAGGTGTTAGTTTGTTGATGAGAGTCTTTCTACTGTAGGTGTTAGTTTGTTGTTTGAATTGATTACAATTCTTCTAGAAGACAACGTTAAATGAATATAAAGTTTTCTTTTGAACCTGACGGTTCCATGGGACAAGTGAAGTAGAGTTCACCTGTATTTGTGACATCGGCAAAAGAGATAATGTGGTCAGCACTATGCCTAGACGCCTTTCCTATCCCCAACGTGCGTCAGTTACTAATCAGAGCTGGGTTGACTCAGTCACATTCTACAAACTTGAAACTGGATTCGAGCTCGAAACTTTCTTGTTACCTGTCATAAGTTCTACTATTCTACCACACAGATGAACATAAACATATTTTGGCGAATATAAATTGTTTATAACTTTCATATTAAGAAGTATTTAATTAAAATATGTGCTAAAATACAAATAGATAAGCTTCAATGCAAAAAAAAAAAAACAACTGCTAATGCTCTTCATAATTAATAGTCCAACAACTTTACATTAATATATATACATATATATACGTTAAAAAAACAACTAGCATTATTTATTCATATAACGCGATTACTTTATTTCTCCTTTTTCAACATTAAAATACAATTCCCCTCTCCACCAAACTCTGATTTTTTTCTATTGCCTGAACTAGGCGTTACGTGGCATCAAGCACCCTGGGATACAAGGCACCTGGACCCACCTGGCTCTACAGCTGGTCCTCACCCCTGATATCTTTAGTGGTCATTTCGGTGGGAGGCCGGACGCCAAGAGATTCGTCATCGTCATGACTGACGGGAGGTCCAAATTCCCACTCAAAAGTTAGTTGGCATAGACAGTAATAGGACACTATGTTTTCATTGTTAACATTGGCGATTTATGTTTCTTTAAAATGAACCGAAATCTGTAAACTGTTTAGTCTGCACATTTCAATAAGAAAAAGCAGTCGAAATAGTATGTCTTCAAGACTAAAAAAAAATAATGTATATTTTTATATACACCTATACAGGAGCCTTCCATAACGACCTGACACTGTCATGGAAGGGGGTTGTCGGCGTAATTTTGTGACGATGTCGTGAAGAGAGGTGGCGCTGGTGGGGGGGGGGGGGAGGGGGTGGGGGGGGGCTCAGAAGTAGTAACGACAGTATTTTACATGATAAGATGTCATGTTACGAACGTATTTTAACAGGTATATTGTGTTTTTAAAAGACTGGTTTTATGACGATGTTGGAAGAAATGAAAGGGGCGGGGGGGGGGGGGGTTAATTTGTCAATAAAGAAGTAACTGCATTTATGGATGACCTCTTGTATAAATATACACATGACTATATATATATATATATATATATATATATATATATATATATATATATATATATATTATACTTATATACATAGGCCCTGTGTGTGTGTTTGTGTTTGTATGTAAAAATATCTTACTGTGTCATTAGCTCAAGAAGCTGCTGACGCCATTAAGAACAACGGAGTGACAATTCTGACAGTGGGCATTGGGCGAGACATCAGCAATACCGAACTAGAAGGGATGGCCAGTCGACTCAGCTACGTGTTCTACTCACCATCCTTCAAGTACCTACAGGAAATCAAGCAGGACCTCATAGACGCCACGTGTCAAGGTGAGTAGACAGAGAGTCGTGTGAAAACATCAGTGGTATTTTGATGTCATTGGCAGAATGATGTCACTAGCATAATGGTGCCACTAGGATTGTAATACCGTGTGAATTATGATGTCAATAGCATTATTATGTCGTTAGCATTAAGATATCATTAGTATTATGATACCATTATAATTATGTTGATATTAACATTAGAATTTCTTAAGTGTTATGAAATCATAAGCATTATGGTGACATTAGCATTGAGATGTTTTTAACATAATTACTTAAAATAAGATAACGTATCATAATTTACTAGTGGCATTATGATGTCATTAGCATCAAGACATCTGTAACATTAGATGTTGGTAGACTTATGATTCATCGGGTCTACGACAAATTCCCGAAAGACACTTGCCCGATTTCTTAAATAGACACTTGCCCAAATGCGTCAAATTCGGGCAAGTGTCTATTCAGGAAATCGGCCTTCAGGCAAACGGCATTCGGGCAATTGTCCATTCAGGAAATCGGCCTTCATGCAAACGGCATTCGGGCAAGTGACCATTCAGGAAATCGGCCTTCAGGCAAACGGCATTCGGGCAAGTGTCTATTCAGGAAATCGGCCTTCAGGCAAACGGCATTCGGGCAAGTGTCTTTCAGGAAAACGTCCGGCTCCCAGATCCATCGCCCCTCCCGGAACAAATGGAAAAAAAAAATTGTATAGAAAATATATACGTTAACCTGTGTCCACCGTTTTTAGTGCGTCACCCTCCCCCTGGAAGTTTCAAGTCTCCCTCACTCTCCCTGCCCCCAATCCTCTCCCCCCACCCGAGAAATACGCCTAAAAGAGATCCTGGTAACAAACACGTTACTTGCATCCATTATATCCTCAAGTTTCATGCATCCATTATATCCTCAAACTACTTGCATCCATTATATCCTCAAACTACTTGCATCCATTATATCCTCAAACTACTTGCATCCATTATATCCTCAAACTACTTGCATCCATTATGATCAGGGTTACGTTGACATATCGTTTACACTGGTTGAAATTTGACATTTTTACATGTTTACATATCCTTTAACCATTTCATGTATGTTTGAACTTGTTTCAGCTTCAGAGGGCGGCCAAGCCAGTAACGGTAACAGCCGAGTAGAGAGGACCACTTATCGTGTGGATAGAAGATAAACGAAATGCAACGACTAGATACAAATCTTTGATGTAACTGCTATTTTTCAGTGCTAGGGCACAAAAATAATTTAATCGCTGTCTCTATTTGCGTTGTTCAATATTATTCTTAATTATCCTGAAATTTGATTTGATGAGTCAATTACAAACCATAACATGTAGAAAGATACTTACTGACATTAAAAAGGAAAATCACTTACAACATAATTTGAACTAGGTTTTAAATTTTTTATGGCACTGTGCTTAACTTTAATTTATTAACCGAAAATGAGATTTGGTAATGATTCGTGGAGGTCTTATTGTTGTATTTTATTGCATCATTGTTGTAGTTAGTAATTAGTATTTTTTTGTTGCATCATTGTTGTAGTTAGTAATTAGCAATATTGTCTTTGTTATCAATCAAATTCCTTTGTTTACGTGGTGAAGGTTTGTCTACCAACCACTATACAACAAATTACCAAAAGCTGGCCAGACTAAATTTTAAATAAATGAAGATTACTTTACAGAATTGAGACTCACATGCAACTGGACATATTTCAGTATTGTACAAAAACTGAGGTCATATTCGTTTTGCACTGAGTGTTGACACCTTACGCTTTAATTACAGTTAGAGTTAGATAATTACACCAATTAACTCCGTCACAGCCATTACCCACTCGATTATGGCTAGTAAAGAAACGCATGTTAATTATATTTTAAGCAGTCTGGTATGGAAAGACCTGTTTGTAAATGCTTTAATACAGCTGTTACGGAGAAATAAATTAAACTACATGTAGACAACTCGGGAGTAAACAGGTTTCTGGTGTTTGTGTGTGTAAGTGTTTGTGTGTTTGTAGAAATTAAATTAAATCTTGAAAGGACAGTAGGGGAATCGCAAGATCGTGGAGTAGGGCGCTCCACTGCTAGTCCAAAGGCTTTTAGTTCGGATCACGGTCCGGAATCAAGACTGCAGTATGCCCCTGAGTCCACCTTAAAAGCAAACAAGGTGGCTGGACATCGCGCTGACCATCCATCGCTTCATACGCGATATATATATATATATATATATATATATATATATATATATATATATAGATCTATATATATATATATATATAGTTCTTGAAAGAAAGTTATAATAGCGAAAGCACAGCCCGGTTCAATAACGTGCAGGAGATATGGTTATCTAATTTTGTTCTAACGTTAGCACTGCTTAAAAAATAGTTGGTTTGATCGCATAATATACTACATGTTGTATGGGTAGCACCAGCCAAATAAAATCCAGGCTGTAACAATATTTGTTTTGGATTTTCTTATCTCTTCCTTTCGGCCTTTCAGGCTGAAAAAAGAAGTTAGAATACAAAATATGCGATAAAAATCAAAATTGCGAAATCATTTTGAAATGCTGTTTAAATATATTCTAGCCCGGCAATATAATTTACTAGAGCTTTCATGCTGTTAAAAAGGTAATTAAAAAAATTACATCCAAATGTTGTAAAACACCGCATATACAGTAGAAAATAAAACTTCTTAATTAATACGTTTATTTATTTAGTTTTTAGTATATATCTAAGTTAGGGCACTTAAAGTAAAATATTTGCAAGAAGCAGGGACTCCTTTGAAAATATGGTTGCCTTGGCAACGGCGGCCATCTTGATTATAACAACTTTTTGTGAAGTTCTAAAATTTCATAATCTCTAACATATATATCGGCCATATAACCATTGATCCTTATTTTACTAATAGAGTCAGCCAGCTAGTTTTTGTAACAGAAAACACTCTAGAAATATTAATTTTTGTTTGAATTTTCAAAATTTGGTATGGTGAAATACCATTACAACTATTGCTAAATGAAACGGTATCTCATCATTAAAAAATCTTTAAAAATTTGAAAAAAATACACCTTTCGTTTTTTTTGTTTGTTTTTTTTTACAAAAGCTAAAAAGCTAGCCAGCTGACTATATTTCTGTTAGTAGCAAATGATGGATGATTATATGGTCAATGTTTATGTTCGTTTTTGCAAAAAGGTTATTTATGCTTTAGTACTAAAGTGTCATATAGTTATCAAAGTTCGGAGTTAGTCAACACTATGCCAAATCGCACTTGTTTTTTTTCAAATAATGCTCTACATCCGTAAAGTTCGAAGTTCGAGTCAAACACTATACCGAGCTGCTTTTACTTTTTCACTTTGTGTTCTAACATTGTCTAAATTCGGAGTTCGAGTCAACAATTGACAAGACGTCTTTACTTTCCCATTTAGTGTTTTAAGTTTTCAAAGTTCGAAACTTGAATCCTACAGTTGAACACTCGTCTGCTTTATCCCCCGACCACCACAATTTACTTCGTAAACACGCAGTAAACGCAAAATAACAACAACAAAGCTGGGTCAAATGTTATGTAAGCAAATTCATTCTAAAGTTAATTATTTTAGAATCGCAAATGACGTTGCCAAAAAGTCAAGTTGCAGAACAAAAGGGCATTTTGAGAACAAAGAAAGGATTTAAAGCTGAATGGTTAACTACTGAATCGAGAAACGCTTAGCATCTGTGCTGTCAATTAAAAAATTGTTTGGTAGAATTGTGTGCGGCTGAATTGCGTGTTGTTAATGTCAGTTTAGAATTTCTCTAGAGAAACATGTTGCTAAAGATGGGCTTTCACGGTAAATTGCGTGAGGGAGAATAGGGTTTGGTTAATGCTAATTTTGGATAATCTAGAGAAACTGGCAGGTGAGGGATGTTTATGGGGCTTTCATGTAGTTGTGTAAATAATGTTTTAAAAAAATGTTGGTGAGGTTTGGTTTGATGCAAGGATGATGTTGTCTATGATGTTAGTGTCAGATTTATGTGATGTGGAAGCGGTCAATAGTGTGATGAGAGGGTGTGGTTGTTGTAATGTTGCTATAGTTGTTGCTATTTTAAAAATAACAAATTTTAAAAGATATACGGAATAATACATCTTTTGTGACGAGACAACGTATTTATTGATAAATCTAAAATGATAACAATATAACCACCATCATCTTTTCCCGTTCGTACCCAAGATACATGTCGGATTCGAACTCGATACTTTCGGGTTAACAGTCTAGCGCGCTAGCTCTAAAATATAAAAAAAAAATACAAAAATTGCTTATATGTTTACATATATTATTTTTGGTGATCAAATTAAGTATATCGCAAAAAAATTAAGGTCTGAATATACTGTGATTATTCCTAACAGGTATAAGATAAATTGTTAACTGGCCAGTTTATCAGTATTTGGGGGGAGGGGAATGGGGGGGGGGGGGTTGCTAATGTACAAGGGGTAGTTACCGGCTGTAAGGGTTGGGGGGTAATTGATCGGGGGAAAGTGTATGTGATGTTCTTTACTGACCACAATAACACATCTAAATTAGACGAGATGCAATGAACGATGAAGTTAACCACCCAAACACACCAAACATTACAACGCAAATTACAGTCCCCGATACATTAATGCAACTACTTGCTTCATATGGAGCTCGAAACTTTACATCTCTCGCTTGAGGGATAACTATCCTGAACTCACTCTTTCGAATTAAATTTATTTTAATTTGTGCACCAGTACCAGGGCTAAAAACTGTGAGGTCATTAGCAAGTAATTAGCTAGAGACACATTTAGGTAGATAAATTGCCTTCAGACTTAGCTCCTGCTTTACATCGGCTCCTGCTATCAACGATCGTGTAGTTGGTGAGTTATGTTTGTAACATTTTATTCTCAATTTTTTACACGTTTTTAAGTTATAAAATAGTATTATTACAATTGATTGAATTATACAATTGTATCAATACAATTGTTTCAATTATAAAATAGTATTAATACAATTGTTTTAATTTATTAGTCAACAAAAATACACTTTGTAATGGGCTTTACTATACATTTGTTTTAAAAGCATTTGCGGTATATAGATCAAGCTTATGACACATTAGTACTAACATGAAGTTATGAGATTTTAAAAGTACTTCAGACATGAAAATCCGTATTGTAGATGAAGAAAAGTTGTGAATTAACAATGTTATTAGCACTTTGTACAAACCACTCTATTAAACTTTACTCACCTTCTCTGACTCTTTGACTAGAGCCACCATCTGTGACTCTTAGACTAGAGCAGGGGTCGGCAACCTGCGGCTCGTGAGCCGCATGCGGCTCTTTTGATATGGAGATGCGGCTCTCCAGCTCCTTGCACAAATACTAATAATCTTAATAAAAAAATAAAATATTTGAAATAAAAAAATGTTAGTGGCTCTTTAAAACCAGGGGAAATTTTGAAAATTGTAATATTTGGCTCTTCCGCTTCAAAAGGTTGCCGACCCCTGGACTAGCGTCATTGTCCAAACAGGGTGAACTCAGTGATGCCGTCTTGGTCACGAACTAAATATTTTAGGCCTACCAATGACAATTTAAATAGCATTGTACTAAAGCTCTATATCTTGACATAAAAAAACGCTGCAGAAAAATACTCATTAGGGAAACTTATAAAACTCGTAGAGTTGATTGTTAATTAGTGTTTGTAAGACCATTGTGGAATAGCTTTAAGGGCTGTTTGCACGTCGGATTTTGTTTATAAATAATTTTTCCACGGCTATATTTAAAGAAACATAACAAACTAAGGTATAGTTAAAAACTATTTACTGCTTTAATTTCACATTATAAACTAATGTAATAGAATTTAGTTCTAAAACTATCTGGTCAGCAATATGAAACAACCAAACTTGTAATATATTCATGTTGCATAACTGATTGTCTCTGTCTCAAGTACTTAGCCTAATCAAGATGTTGGTGTACTTATTGGTCTTCACCCTTACCTTGACGGTACAGTGTGCATCAGGTAAACATATAAATAAGGCGTTATTTCTAAAACAAATTTCATTTACGAATACAAAGTTATTATATTTTTGTGTGCTCTTAAAGTTTAAAGTGTATAATTAGTAAACACTATATTAGAATACTGTGAACTATAAAAGACTTACATTGGTTAGTTATTTATTAGTTATTTATCATGTGAAACGTTAAGAGGCTTACATATTAATTAAAAATACAATGAATATCATGTTATTAATGTCGGGTCTAATTGCCGTCTTCCTCTAAACTATTCTTTCAAACAGACGTCAAAACAGTGGCGTAGCGAGGTCGGGTGTCACCAGGTGCGGCACTTAATGGTGTCACCCCCCAAGAGGCATAGAGACCCTTCCCAGGGACAAACTTTCAAATTTTCGATTTGCACCCCCCCTCAAACTTTCGATTTGCACCCCCCCTCAAGTTTTCGATTTGCACCCCCCCCCCCCCCGTCAAACTTTCGATTTGCACCCCCCCCCCTCGAGTTTTCGATTTGCGCCCCCCCCCCCCTCAAACTTTCGATTTGCACCCCCCCCTCGAGTTTTTCTCTATATATTTTGCTATTTTTTGCCTTGGTGTCACCCCCCTAAATGGTGTCACCCGGTGCGGTCCGCACCCCCCGCCCCCCCCCCCCTCGCTACGCCCCTGCGTCAAAATGCCAATGGCGTGTAAATGCCAACCTCAAGCTCATGTTTTATACATCTGTCAACATGGTTATGATATGTTCTAATGTTAATGACATATCTAATGTCATCAGCATGTCAACAAACGAATGACAAGCAAATTCAACCGTTTTGTTTTGAGAGCAATTTTAAACAAAAACTGTTTTGAAATCACACATTAAATAAACATTGTAACTAGAAATATTTTACTAGTCTAGTATCTATTAAAGATTCCATTTTAGTGAGGTTAGACTTTAAATTAACATTGTAACTCAAAATATTTTACTAGTCTAGTATCTGTTAAGTATTCCATTTTAGTGAGATCATACTTTAAATTAACATTGTAACTTGAAATATTTTACTAGACTAGTATCTATTGAGGATTCCATTTGAATGAGATCATACATTAAATTAACACTGTAACATTATGTGTTAAGGATTCCATTTACAAAAGCAGCCGTCTTATTTGACATTTATCTCGAGACCACAGTCCAGTTCAACCACGAAGTTGGAGTTGTTTAAATCCTCCAACATCAATACAATTAAGAACGAAGAAGAACAAGACATATATCTATTTTACAGTGCTTTCATCTTGATTGTTTATTGAGGATACTGACTTAGCGATATAATCTAACAAAATCCCATTAAGAACGATAAAGAAGAAGACATACATCTATTTTACAGTGATTTCATCTTGATTGTTTATTTAGGATACAGACTCAGTGATATCGGTAAGCCATGTGACTGTGACCACGGTACTGAACCAGACGACGGTTTGCCCGGAGATCAACCACCTCCAGAATTTCTTATTGATCCGGCTTTCAGCAAAGACCCAATTGATTGGTTCGAGAATTCCAGAAACTATCCCGTGGGTCGTGATTTCCCTCAAGGCCCCAGAGACCCAGCCACGGGTCTGCTAGCTAGTCTGGGGAACATACTGACGTCCCTAGGCGCTCAGCCAGACGACGGAAAGGTACCGGTGGAGGAGTTCTTTACCAAGGAGCAGTACAACCCATTGCAGGGCCGGCAATTCCGGGATTCCGGCTTTGACCTCGGCGACTTCCACGCCCACGTAGACATCGATGGTCACGCGAAGCCCAAGTTGTATCAGACGATTAACATCAACGTGTACCAACAGCCCAAGTGTGGTGGGTGCGCACGCAAGCCAGCATGTGGTGAGCGAACCCTGTAGATGTATCTAATTATTTCATGCGCTAATCCTGTTATAAGTGTTATATAAAAATCAATAGGTTGTATTAATATTAATAACATTATGGGAAAGATAGATCTAGAGTTTTATAGAAATAATAAACATTATAGAAAATAACATCTAATAACATATAATCTATATATATAATTCTCTTCTGGGAGACGCTAGAAAACAAGCTGTAAGCGCGCTCCCTACCACCCCACCCCTACATGGTCTGGTGAGCTGTGGTTCACGCTAAATGTTTACAGTCGTAGAGCCAAGTTTAGTGACGGCTATTAGGGGCAGATAATTTAGTTAGGGGGGGGGGCGGTGTGTAGTGTAGGGGTTAGGGGAAAGGAGGGTGGGGGTAGTATCGTTCTTAACGACCTACTGATATTTTTTTAAAGCAAATATTTTCAGTGGCAGGATTGGTACTGTCGAATTCACAAATTATGAATTACTGAAAAGTAGAAAATAAAACAACTAAATAGCGGCAAATGATATGCCGCGGGTCGGCTCGTAACAATTATTAGGATTAGCATTAATAACAGTTCGATAGAAGTGGATAAACTAATCTTTTAGTACAATGTAACACAACCAAACGTTCTTACCTGTAGAGCCAGAACCAGCACCAGCACCAGAACCAGCACCAGAACCAGAACCAGCACCACAGCCAACACCAGAGCCGGAGCCGATCTGCATCAGTAAAGTCAAGGCAGACTTTGTGCTGTTGATGGACGCCTCGACCAGCGTGGGACCAAAAGACTGGAAGAAACAGGTCGAGTTCGCCGCGGGGCTGACGGAAGCTTTCAGTCCCGACAAGGACGATGTCAGGTTCGGTGCTGTCATCTTCAACAAGGAGCCCAGTAAGATTTTTGACCTGAACACCTTCACGGAAAGTCAGGCTCTGTCACAGGTATTCCTAAGCACACTATTTTGTTTCATGATAGACTATTACTGAAAATACCATCAAGCATCTAGTGTAGAGAGAAAAATTGGGTGGGGGTGATGGATATTCTGAATTTTAAAAATGATGCGTGCAAGAGGAATGAAAAAAAAATGACGTAGAATATATGTTGTTTTTAATACAGCTCAAATAGAAAAAAGAATTACATTTTCGCAAGAATAATTATTTTTTTTGGGACAAAGGAAGGGTGCTCAAACATTTACAGTTGTTTCGTGAATAAAATTTTTGATAAAATACATAGACAAAAGAAAAACCCAAAGGCAATATATTCCCCAAGTGTTGACAAATTCTCTAAAAGTAAGGCAACAATAAGAACTTTCTATCTCAGGCCCTGAAAGACATCAAGTACCCAAACAACCAAGGCACCAACACACACCTGGGTCTGAGTGAGATTTTAACACAGAGGATGTTCAGTGCTGAGGCTGGGGGTCGGGACGACGCCCCTAACCTGGTCATTGTCATAACAGACGGCAAGTCAACACACCACAGCCTGAGTGAGTACACTTGTAAACAACTAATCATTTGTAAATAGCACAACAGAGACGGCTTCAATAATTACCTAATGTCATTCATTTGACCTAAAACACATATATAAAGATCATATACTTAGTATGTCAGTTTTCGTAGTTATAAATAAACTATAAAATATGCATTTTAATAAAGCTATCATAATTTATAATCCTAGTTTTCTAATATAATTTATTTAGCTTATATTTGACATCCTGTAATATTTTGTTGAATGATTTTTTTTGGCGCTTTACTCAAAAAGTCCTGTACGCTTTGAGCTAACAAAACAGTTTTCCTAGAGTAAGAAAGGTCAACTATTCTATACCTGTTTATCGACCACTGTTATAATTAATGCGTTGAATTAGGTACAAAATGATAAATTGACAGGCGACATATTAATTACATAAATATGGTTAAGACTTGAACAATCGTATTTTATTGATCCACATTAGTTCATTTACATATCATTGCTGATGGTTCTTAACTAAATCCTAAAAGAGTTCACAAATTAAAAAAAAAATAATTTAAAAAAAATATATATATAACAGCAAATTTACTCGAACAACAATAAAATAATGGCGTTATATTAAATATGTTGCAGATCATTATTGTACTTGTTTGTTTCCCTGTATATTTCATTATACTACAACAAGCAGGAACACAACACTATTGTATTTGAACTGACCAATGAAATCCCCTGTTTCAGCTGTCAAGGCGGCGACAGAGCTGAAAGCCAGCGGGGTACAGATAATATCTGTTGGGGTCGGCAAAGAGCCCACGAAACAAGAGCTGGAGGACATTGCAAGTGACAAGAGCTTCGTCTTCACTGTGGACAATTATGGTCTACTGGACCACATCAAGACAGGTCTGGTCACCATCACCTGCTCAGGTAGTACTTGCTCATTAATTTATACTTGTATGAGCTAGTAATTCACATTGGATTTGTAGCTCTAGGGTATACTTTTAAATACGTGATACTTTTCGATAATTAGAATAAACTTGTATGAGCTAGTAATTCACATTGGATTTAAAGCTCTAGGGTATACTTTTTAAGCTCTATGGTATACTTTTTAAGCTCTATGGTATACTTTTAAATACGTGTTACTTTTCGATAATTAGAATAAACTTGTATGAGCTAGTAAATCACATCGGATTTTAAGCTCTAGTGTATACTTTTAAATATGTGATACTTTTCGATAATTAGAGTTTATTAATAAAAACTTGTGTTAACAAAAAGAAACAGAAGAATTGTCTTTAGTAAAAAAAAATGCGTCTTACCTGGGTAAAATGCAGCAAATTTAAATTAAAAAAAAAAAAAATCTGCACAGTGTCAACTTGTTATTTAATAATGATATGTTATATTGAAAAAATGTTGATGAACAAAGTTTTTTTTTCTGAATGTTCCTAAGACGAAGTTCGAATTTCTTTCTATTTATCTTAGCAACTACTGCCCCACCAACTCAAGGACCGACAACAACAACGACGGAAGAGCCAACCACAACGACAGAAGAGCCAGCCACAACGACAGAAGAGCCAGCCACAACGACGGAAGAACCAACCACTACTACAGAAGAGCCAACCACAACAACGGAAGAGCCAACCACAACGACGGAAGAGCCAACGACAACTACAGAAGAGCCAACAACAACGACAGAAGAGCCAACCACAACGACGGAAGAGCCAGCGACAACTACAGAAGAGCCAACAACAACGACAGAAGAGCCAACCACAACGACGGAAGAGCCAGCGACAACTACAGAAGAGCCAACAACAACGACAGAAGAGCCAACCACAACGACGGAAGAGCCAACTACAACTACAGAAGAGCCAACAACAACGACAGAAGAGCCAACCACAACGACAGAAGAGCCAACCACAACTACAGAGGAGCCAACAACAACGACGGAAGAGCCAACAACAACGACGGAAGAGCCAACGACAACGACGGAAGAACCAACCACTACTACAGAAGAGCCAACCACAACGACGGAAGAGCCAACCACAACGACAGAAGAGCCAACCACACCCACGACCACAACCACGACTACAACTACGACAACGACAACAAAACCAACAAGTAAGCAAAATTCATTGGTGCATAAAATTACTAGTTGACTACTAGTATTTAGATTATTTACACCTATACATTTTTTAAAATACTTTTAACCGACTTAAGGTAAGGTAAGTAAGGCTATTGTGCATAGTATTTATCACATTATCCCTTCATATGCCGATGTCACGAAAACAGGTGAACTTTACTTCGAAAGGTTCGAATAGGGAACTATATATATATATATATATATATATATATATATATATATATATATATATATATATATATATATATATATATATATATATATGAAAGCTTTGTGCCAAAGTACTTTAGCTTTTCTTACTTGGTTTAATTTACTTGTAAATCCAGTCATACATAAAAGATTCCGTTCCATCTATTCCAGCCCCCACAAGACCCCCCTACCCACCCTCCACCCCTGAACCATGCAAAGAGAACACAAAGGCAGACATTGTCCTTCTGCTTGACGCCTCCACCAGCATCGGGTGGAAGAACTGGAAATACCAGACCCAGATGGCTTCCAACATCACCAAATATTTTGACGTTGGTGCTGACAAAGTCAGGTTCGCTACGACCATCTTCAACGGGATCCCGACCAAACAGTTCGACTTGAAAGACCACTTGGACCATGAATCGCTGTCGAAAGTATTTACGAGTTTTAAATTCAAACACAATATTCATTATTTAAATAGTATTTTTTTTTCTTTTTCTTCTTCTACTTCGTTCTCACCTGTTGTGTTGGACCGGATTTCCTCCAACACAATTAAGTATTAATTGTCAACATGTTTTACGCCATATTGCGTTGATTCCAATTTCTCTCTTAAGTTGCTTCCAAAGACTTTATACATATTAGAAAAACTACAAGTCAGCAGTTGTTTGATTTTGGACTTTTCTTTCCTGTATGTGTTTCTGTCCCCATTTATGGAGCGTTATCTTCCAAGGAGATTCGACTTTTCGGTTTAGCATTCATTAGCTTTTCTGACCCGACCACGCGGATACATGAGCAACACCTAACACTTCTCAACTTGCTGTACAGCCTTTTTCTTTGATTTGCAAGGCGCAATCAATCGATCATCTTACAAACTATGGAGCCGATATTTATTTTTTATTTCAATACATTTGTGTCAAAAAGAATATAAAAATAATTTAAAAAACAAAAAAGCAAACAATAAAAACAAAGGGTTAGCAAAAATAACTATTTTTTTCCTCTCTCTCCAGGCTTTACTAGCAATAGCATACCCCGGTATCCCAGGGACCAAGACCCACCTAGCCCTACAGGACATCACTAACAAAAGCATGTTTGGTGCTGAGGCTGGTGGTAGAGACGACGCCCCCGATATTCTAATTGTCATGACCGACGGGAAATCTGACAACACCAATAAAAGTAAGTCCTTGATACCGTTTAATGATGATTTACACGACAGGTATTCGTTCATCCATATAGCTGAAATAGCTGTTTGTAAATTAAATCATTCGCATAATTAAAAATTAAACTCATCATTTTCAAAGAATAAACGAAAAAAAAAATTAGAAATTAAATTTCTGCCAACAACAAAAATAAAATAAAATAAAATAACGATTTGCTATGGCGATATAAAACTAAAAGCAAACCTACTGTATCTGTTTCAGCTATGGCCGAGGCAGCCAAACTGAAGCTAACTGGTATGACCATTATAGCTGTGGGGATAGGTCCTGACCCATCACAAGAGGAACTCAAAACGATCGCCAGTGCTCCGGAGAACGTCTTCAACGCTGCCAGCTACGATCTACTGGCCTACATCATGCAGTCGCTGGTTAGGAAGACGTGTGACAGTAAGTTGGCCGTAGATTTCCGTATCACTTCTAACTTAGATATACTGGACATTTAGTTTTTCTAGATTGTCATATTAATTATTTAAGATAAATTAGACTGTAAGTTTACCTTAGATTTCCGTATCATTTCATAACTTAGATTTGTTGGACATTTACTTTTTCTAGATTTTCATATCATTATTTAATTAAAGATACATTATACTGTATGTTTTCCGTAGATTTCCGTATCACTATAACTGATATACTGGACATTTAGTATTCCTAAATTTTCATATCATTATTTAAGATAAACTATACTGTAAGTTAACCTTAGATTTCCGAATTACTTTATAACTTAGATATACTGGACATTTAGTTTTGTTTTCATATCATTATGATATATATTCGACTGTAAATTTACCATAGTTTTCCATACCACTTCATAACTTAATTATACTGGACATTGAGCTTACTCTAGATTTTCATATCAGTAATTAAGTTAAGATACATTAGACTAGTGGTTCTTAACCCTTTAGAGGTACCGAACCCATCCTGTTTCATACGTGCATTTAACGAACCCTTCTTGATAGTTATATGATCAACTCTGACAAAATCCGAAGATAAGATGTATCTTTTTACTTCCGCCGAACTCCTGAGACTGACAAGCCGAACCCTTGGTTAGATCGAACCCAGATTAAGAACCACTGCATTATTCAGAGCTTTTACTATGAATATCCGTATCACTTTCTAAATCAAGTTTCGGGGGAAAAATTACTTTTAAATATAGATACACGTATATTTTTCAACAGGATATGTCTCTATATTTTGAACGTATATTTTAAATCGGAAAAAAAATTTTTTAAAGCATGTTTTTTGTTACTATTTAAATGTGTTTATATACTCTTATAACAGCGGCGAAGTCAGCAGCTGCTCCAGGACAGCGATAAGGGATAATGACGTCATCGTCGGCATAGAGTTGATTAAACCATACAATTCAAATAAACTTGCTTTTTTAAAAAGAAATACGTCTTGTTTCATTGTTTCTGTGATTTAAAATTCTTTTTAAAATAATAACATGCTGCCCAAGTAACAAAAACATCACAATTTGATGCGTTTTGAACCACTTTTAATATATTTATAAAACGTTTACCTTTAAAATAGCAATAATAAAATTTTCGTTTAGTTTTAATAAAAGTTGTCTAATAATTGTGTACATAATTCCTATAAAAATAAGGCTAGAGTTTAATTAACATACTCGAGTTCTCATCACATCATCACATCTATCAAACGTTGAAGGACACATGATTCAATTCGGGGATAATAACAGCAGCTAAGCATTCTGGCCACAATAGTTTTGTTTATGCTGAGGACGAAAGCCCTATGATAAAATCGTCAAGCTATTCATCACGCTCATTCATAGATTTATCCTACCCACACGTCTCAACTTATCTTGTGTATTTTATATCCAGTTCACGAGCAAGTTTCTCAGTAGTGTTGTGTATAATCACAAACATAATCCCCTTCAAATAATATACGACAAAATAACGTGATAAACTTAACTTAATTCTCTTTACAAATATAATGGAGCACAGGGCCGTTACTTTAATATTCCGTCTTGTCTTAGGCTTTTAATTTTGCAATCTCCCAAGATATTCCTACTGTCTTTGGTTTTTTAAGAAGACTCCGCCTCCAGATCTTTCTAGTGTGTCCTTTCTTTTAACTGCTCCGGGGGGGGGGGGCTTCACTCAAGTCACTGGCGTGCCACATTGTGTTTCGCAGTGTGTGCCCCACCCCTCGCCACTTCTATCTCTTATTTTTTAATACCATGGGACCTGCTGCTCTTCAAATCTATGTAAGGCACCTTGTCCGGACAATCTTAGAAGTTATCTGAGACATTTATAACAAAGTCTTGCATCTTTCCTTTGCTGGACTTTGAGACTCCATGATCATACAGGCTCCGGTAAATGTTTTAGACAAGTCGACCACACATAACCACTAAAGAAAGACAATTATTCAAAATTCGATAGAGCGATTAATCAACGTGGCTGGCGACATAAGGACTGAAATCGATCCAGCTACCATGGAAAAGACTAACACCAAAAGAGTTTACACTAAAGGTCGCCAATTTATAACGATGTTGACTGCATGACCCGTATCTAAATAATAAAGTCGTAAGATAAAAGTAGTGCTTGACCACAATGAGTTAGGGTTTGAGATAGCATCAATGATCGACTTGTAGCACACACTACAATACAGTATGCACACCATTGCAATCCCTTCACATTTCCTACCCCTCCCTCTATATATGCTGCCTCTATCCTTGCAGGCATCATAGCACCCACATCACAGTATAATATATTTCATCTCAAGTCGATTAACGGGAACGTTAATGTTGATAGCCGGATAAATTTGCTGGGACTCTAATGTCGAGAATCGGACAAACTTGATGGGACGTTAATGTCAAGAGCCGGACAAACATGATGGGACTCTAACGTCGAGAATCGGATAAAATTGAGTGGAATCTAATGTTGAAAGCCGGAAAACTTGATGGGACTAACGTCAAGTGCCGGACAAACCTGATGCGACTAAACTGCTAGGTTTTGGGGCCATTTTGTTTCAGCTTCTTTTGACTAGAGCCTGTAAAGAAATATGCCAGTCTTGTTTTTTCATGTGTTGTTTAGATGGGTCCATGTGTCTAGCATACAGACACTTCATTTGCTATGTCGCAATACACAGGCAACAGATGTTGATCTGTAATCGATTAGCAAGCGTTTAATAATTTACTTTGTAACTGTTTAACTATTTCACTACTTACTGAAACCAAACACCAACCTTAGGACCCTAACCCGAACTCTTGAATCTGAATACTTTTATGTGGTTTCTTCATTTAGAAATTTCAATTTACCTAATTACTTTATTTTACATAAACACTTAATTTATCTTGACTTCTCCATATAAACTAACCACTTTACTTGAAACTTACTTCCTTTAACCGACTTTAATTAACTCCTCCTTGCACCTAAATAGGCTTACATTTATTACCATGACTCTGGAAACTTACCCCTCGACTTTACCCCACATCATTTACATCACATTTTAAGTAAAAAAATACACTGCTATTAATAAACTTTAACTAACCCTAGCCTTAGCATTAATCCTATCCCTATCCCTATCCCTATCCCTATCCCTATCCCTATCCCTATCCCTATCCCTATCCCTATCCCTATCCCTATCCCTTTCCCTTTCCCTTTCCCAATCCCAATCCCAATCCCTATCCCTATCCCTATCCCTATCCTTATCCTTATCCTTACCCTTACCCTTACCCTTACCCTTACCCTTACCCTTACCCTTACCCTTACCCTTACCCTTACCCTTACCCTTACCCTTACCCTTACCCTTACCCTTACCCTTACCCTTACCCTTACCCTTACCCTTACCGTTACCCTTACCCTTACCCTTACCCTTACCCTTACCCTTACCCTTACCCTTACCCTTACCCTTACCCTTACCCTTACCCTTACCCTTACCCTTACCCTTACCCTTACCCTTACCCTTACCCTTACCCGTACCCTTACCCTTACCCTTACCCTTACCCTTACCCTTACCCTTACCCTTACCCTTACCCTTACCCTTACCCTTACCCTTACCCTTACCCTTACCCTTACCCGTACCCGTACCCGTACCCGTACCCGTACCCGTACCCTTACCCTTACCCTTACCCTTACCCTTACCCTTACCCTTACCCTTACCCTTACCCTTACCCTTACCCTTACCTTACCCTTACCCTTACCCTTACCTTACCCTTACCCTTACCCTTACCCTTACCCTTACCCTTACCCTTACCCTTACCCTTACCCTTACCCTTACCCTTACCCTTTACCCTTTACCCTTTACCCTTACCCTTACCCTTATCCCTCGCTCAAGCAAAAACCCCTAGCCCTCGCCCTAGCCCTATCCCTATCCCTAGCCCTATCCCTAGCCCTATCCCTAGCCCTATCCCTAGCCGTATCCCTATCCCTATCCCTATCCCTATCCCTAGCCCTAGCAAAAAACCCTAGCCCTAGCCCTAGCCCTAGCCCTAGCCCTAGCCCTAGCCCTAGCCCTAGCCCTAGCCCTAGCCCTAGCCCTAGCCCTAGCCCTAGCCCTAGCCCTAGCCCTAGCCCTAGCCCTAGCCCTAGCCCTAGCCCTAGCCCTAGCCCTAGCCCTAGCCCTAGCCCTAGCCCTAGCCCTAGCCCTAGCCCTAGCCCTAGCCCTAGCCCTAGCCCTAGCCCTAGCCCTAGCCCTAGCCCTAGCCCTAGCCCTAGCCCTAGCCCTAGCCCTAGCCCTAGCCCTAGCCCTAGCCCTAGCCCTAGCCCTAGCCCTAGCCCTAGCCCTAGCCCTAGCCCTAGCCCTAGCCCTAGCCCTAGCCCTAGCCCTAGCCCTAGCCCTAGCCCTAGCCCTAGCCCTAGCCCTAGCCCTAGCCCTAGCCCTAGCCCTAGCCCTAGCCCTAGCCCTAGCCCTAGCCCTAGCCCTAGCCCTAGCCCTAGCCCTAGCCCTAGCCCTAGCCCTAGCCCTAGCCCTAGCCCTAGCCCTAACCCCAGCCCTAGCGATGGCAATGGCAATGGCAATGGCAATGGCAAAAGCAATAGCAATAGCAATAGCAATAGCAATAGCAATAGCAATAGCAATAGCAATAGCAATAGCAATAGCAATAGCAATAGCAATAGCAATAGCAATAGCAATAGCAATAGCAATAGCAATAGCAATAGCAATAGCAATAGCAATAGCAATAGCAATAGCAATAGCAATAGCAATAGCAATAGCAATAGCAATAGCAATAGCAATAGCAATAGCAATAGCAATAGCAATAGCAATAGCAATAGCAATAGCAATAGCAATAGCAATAGCAATAGCGATAGCAATAGCAATAGCAATAGCAATAGCCATAGCAATAGCAATAGCAACAGCAATAGCAATAGCACTAGCAATAGAACTAGCAATAGAACTAGCAATAGCAATAGCAATAGCAATAGCAATGAATGGAATAGCTAGAGCAACAGCAATAGGAATAGCAACAGCAATAGCCCTCGTAGTAGCCCTGGACTTAGCCCCAGCTCTAACCCTAACCCCAGCATTAGCCCTAGCCCTAATGCTAAAGTTGGGTTTGGTTGAGTGTCAGCTTACAATCGATAGTGGCTTTTGTGTATAGCTAGAATCCATTGGGTAAAAACACATGAGTAAACGACACCAGGGATGGTGTTGTGTTTAGGTAAATGACACCGGGTGTGATGACCGAAGATGAATCGTTCGACGGTAATGACATGCTCTTGATTGACTTAACATATACAAGCCTAACCTGATTAAATAGCCTAATCAGCTCTAGTTTACAAATTATAACTAATTGCTTTCACCCGTCTACACTAAACTGATTATCTCACCAAAACAAAACTTAAAACAGACTGGAATCGCCTAATCCAGGGGTCGGCAACCTTTTGAAACGGAAGAGCCAAAAGTTACAATTTTCAAGATTTCCGTGGTTTTAAAGAGCCACTTACAATTTTTTTTATTTCAAATACTTTTTTTTTATTAAGATTATTAGTATTTGTTCAAGGAGCTGGAGAGCCGCATCTTGATATCGAAAGAGCCGCATGCGACTCGCGAGCCGCAGGTTGCCGACCCCTGACCTAATCTTATCCTTTTCTCCAACCCAAATGTTCCTCTCACTCTTTTTATTCGTTCTTAATTTTATGGTTGAAAGGAATTCCCTCGATCACAATTAAGTATTGCGTGTTAACTGA